ATTTACCAACAAAATTATTTCCTTTGAAATATGGTCAGTTATAAGTTCAAGCTGATTCGTATTGTACAGTACTGTAATACAGTATTGATTACTAACATCTTGATATTTCTTAGATAGACTATCCTATCAATCACTATTAAATATTTTCTTTCTAAAAAGAAAGATGGTCGGAGGGTTATAAGTTGATTCAAAATGAGCATATAAGATCCCACTTAGCCAAGCCAATAGGAAGATAGAACTGGACACCATTAAGAAGATCGCACAAGTTAATGGATTTCGAACTAAGACAATAGAATACATCACAAGAAAGAGGAAGAAAAAAATCAATAGCCAGAATAAACTACACAGCAGAACAACATTAGAAGAGATAAAAGAGGAAAACACCTGATATGTCACATTTAGCTACAGGGGGAAAATAGAAAATTGTAACAAATTTGACGCTTCGGGCATCTATAAAATCAGTTGTAACTATTGTGATAGCTTCTACATTGGATAGACTGTGAATTTTGTTAACCACTTCAAAAACCACATATCCGCGTGGAGGAACAACAAACCGGAAAGATCAAATGTCAAATGCACAACACCTGTTACAAAATGGCCACTCAATAGGAAAAATGGATGATAGTCTATGTATTTTAAAGAATTGTAAGAAAGGATATGTAATGAATGCTTGGGAAGAATTGTATATTTATAAGGAAAGAAATGTACAAATAGAAATAAGCTGATTAATGAACAAGTAAATTTTGACTCCAGTTGTACTTATAAAAATGTATTAGCCGGTGCTTCTGGTAACCAATAAGATATAAGTAGGGAAGCCATTCAAGATTCTTGTCATTCGCCTATTGGGTCTGATGATGATTGGATTGTCCAATTGAAATCGACCACCTCTTACCATCTTTTTTTGTATTTTTATTTACCGTCTTGTGAGTAACAGTATAAGTTAAGCGTAAATATATGTTTTAAGTGTTATAAGATGTTTCTTTTATTAATTTGGTAACATAACCATGATTCTCTTGACAAAATCATTACATCTTCAATGTGTGATAGAGAAACAGTGTGAAATCCTCTGTTATATCGTTTTGAGTTAATAACAATGCATGACTTGCAGGCATAGAGATTTGTTAAAAGTTAATTTATAAATCATACCACAATAGGTACTTCAAAACAATCTTTCAGTGTATATTTTCAAAAATAGAGAACAATGGGTTGGTATATGAGAGAATCGTTTCAAAATAGAACCTTTATTCTTAACATTATGAACACATGAAAAAATATGTAAAACTAGACTAGTCTCCCTTGACTAGTTTAACATTTGTATCAGTAGTCTTAGCCCATAATAAACAAATAATGTAATATGGTAACTTATTCTACTAGTTAACATACATAATTGCATACAAAAATACCCATACAAAAACTTTTAACAAATTAATATATCCCCTTAAATATTTCCTATTCGAAGAATTCACTGCTTGTGACGAAGTTAAAGAATGGTCTGCTCACTAAAATTTGCTTTGTAAATAGATCAATACTTTCAACTAAATAAATAGAGCAATTATTCTAACAATACTTTTACAAAATATAAAAAAAAAAAAACTTTGATTGTTTAAACATGATAGCTTGAAGAATTAATAAGACATATATGATATAAACGTGTGTTAAATGGAACTGAATTCAGGAAGATTTAGCACTAGAAAATTATTTATTGGGGGCCCAAAAAAGCTGCATAGTATTGTAAATTATTAGAAATTTCTTGAGAGAATCATCCCAGAAAAAAATTTAGATCAAATTGAGATAAACAAAAATTGAATATTGAAGAAAATTTATGTAGATATGACAGAGTTGGCATGCAGTTAGTAAAATGCAGTTTAGAGGATATCAATAAAAAAAATTTTCGAGGTTTAAGTTAAAAAGGTTTCATGTCCTTCATAATTCTTTTTCATAGAAACATACTTATTCCTGTAAGAATTAATACTTTTTCAAGATAGTGATATGTGAAATCGAATAAAACCTGTAAAAATTCCGCTCTAAGTCACAGAAACAATAATAATTTACTATAAGGTAAGAAGATATGTTACAATAATTTATAATGGAAAATTACCGACAATTGGTTAACGTCAATAACACACATTATCTTTCATCCTCAAATGCAATCTTGGCTTCTGAGGAACATTTTTGCAATAGTCTTTACCTCAAAGACTTATTTTTAGAAAAATAAATGGCATGTTTAAGGCATCAACATCATGACTAGAGTTTTTCATTACCTAATAGCCATTTATAATGGCAACTATAAACCTCAACCAAAAATGCTTAAAACAGGCCATCTTCACTACGACAAGCAGTGAAATACAAAATTGCACAATGTTTACAGATACTAAATAGAGTTAACAATATCTAAAATGATAAAATGAGGATAATATGCAGATAAATTTGTGCTTTTATGTTATATCAATAAATAGCTTTGAAGAGGTTAACAAACTACTTTTAATTATACTTGCATCATTTAACATTTTAACAACTTAAGTTTAATTTTACCAGAGCAATAAAGGTAGAAGATGAATAAAAGGAAAAGGTTAATTATGTTTTTATACACGTTTTCAAATCATTTTATACATTTTTGAGGAACTTTTGAGATTTAAAAATTGGGGGGGGGGGCAGATAAAACAGAAGACCAAAGAGTACATTTAGACGAGTCAAACATATTTTTAAGATGAACAAAACTAAAGAATAGAATGGCTAGACGTAAAAACATATTTTTAGCCATTGTAATTTACTACAAGATTATAAGTTAGTGAATTATTCCTCAGGAGGTGTATTATAGAAAGAAATATTGAGCAAAATTGTCAGGGTAAAGTGTCATACGTCTAAAGGAAGTGCTATATTGTAGATGGGTTGGATTGTTGAACCATCTTCTCATTAAGATAGATTATATCCGTAAACATCAAATAAACCCATCTGTCGATGCTGCAAATACTTGATAAGTATAGAAATATGAATGAGGTTGAAAACTCATTCATATTTCATTCATATCAAATAAGGAATATATACTATTCAAATCTCTTGTAGCCTATCTAAATTGTAATTTGATGCACTTTTAGATTTTAGTGTAAATCCAATCAGGCAAATGGAAATTCACTTCGTCTGCAGGCTTGCTGCGGCGTGGGTATTTTAGGCGTTATGAGAGAATTAGCAATATTTTTGTACAATACTGTATATTGAAGAAGCTACAAATGTTATATAATGGGAGTTCACAATTCTGGAAACTCCTTAACATTTTACTTTTTGAATAAACGTAGAACAATGAAACTCAAGGATTACATCCTCACTGTGGTTGGTGGGAGAAGCATCCAAAATCCCTAATGATAAAGGATATTTTTCATGATTTTTAATGTGTTTGTCAAAGGAACACGTTGCTGCAATCCTGACTTTTTCCTCAACAAAGGTTTCCTCAGTTAAACCTAACCTTTAAAACTCCTAAAGTGTGATTAAATAAAGTAAGGGGGTAATCCTACAGTTTTATCATTCTATGTTTATTCGTAAGTAAAATATAATGGGGTTTCCAGACTTTTTGAACACCTGGTAAAAGAAAGGATAAAATAAAGAGCAGATTTGGCAGAATCAAATTGAAAACGTTGAGAAATGTAACTTTTTAGGGACAAATATAATTTGATTAAAGTGCAATAACGATGGTTTTGATGGATTTGATTGTCAAATCAATTGTAAGAATTAATAGGATACATCAACATCACTATTTAGATTCATAGGTAGCCAGTAAAAAATATCACATTCTCCTTAACCTAGATATACAAAATTATGTTACACTTAAAATATGCATCTACAGTTTTTGGAAGATAATTGTCTATGCACTTTAAAAATCAAATTTTAAAATTAGTTTTAAGATTTGTAAGTACACTATAGATCCTGTAATCTTAATCCAAAATTAATGAGATGAGACAAGAATTAACGTGCTGTGAAGAAAGGTCATGCATTGATTCATGTTACTTTAAAATATATCTCATTCTTTGCGCACCACCCTTTAGAGTTACATTTATTGTATTTAAAGTTGCCAAAAGAAGTGAAAATAACAATTAAGGAAATAAGTCAAAATGTATTAAGCTACCCAAATATCTAAGACTATTTGAACCTAAAACAAGTTATATTAAAAAAATGCAAATATCTATTCATAAACAACACAATACAATATATGCAATAAGCTAAAAACAAATTATCAAACAACAATAACATATTATGGCACGCTTATTTTGTACTTTTAAAACCCAACCCATGGTTTTAACAATAAATAATATGGTGGGTCTAGTTGTTAAATATAACAAATTTGAACTACCTCAAACCACACTAAAAGGCAGTTCCAACAACTAAACAAGTAACAAATTTCAATTATATAAGCCTTTTATCATGTAAAATCATTTCCAAAAAAGATAGTCTAAAATAATGTTGAAAGAAATTTGATATTGGTGTTTTGGATTATCTAATGGCAATAACATATAGAAAGACACCCCAAAGCTTACTCACTACAACTTTGTTTAGTCTTAAGAAAAATAATTCTATACAAAAATCGTAGCAAGAAAAACCCACAATATATCCTTTTTTGTATAAAAATATATAAGTAAATACTCTATAAACATGTACAGTAATATTTGTCTAAGAATTCTTGTGACTTACATCTAAAATCACATATTTATTATAAGTTAAAAACTTTGTTAACACTTCCACAGAAGTTTTTAAAGCAAATGTATAAAAATGTTCACATGCATTTTTCAATGTTTAACAGTTAAAATTAATTAGAACTATTTAAACTCCTTAGTATTACTAACAACAAATTCTGTCAAACAATCAAACAAGCCATTTGAGTACATTCCTGTAAAATAATATTATTTATGTAGTTATGCAATTACGAAAGTAAAAAAAAAAATTAAACATTGTGTATTAATTACAAACAATTACAAATTTGTTAAACGTAATATCTAAAAACACATGAGGGAAAGTGAAAACTATTTAAACTACGAAGGTGATTTATGAACATGTAAAATAATAACACATTAGGGGCTAGATTTTTTTTTGTTATATCAAATAATACAAAATTTAAAAGAGGGAGAGGCTATTTCTTAACTTTGGTTGAATAGTTTATTTTTGATCGCCAATCAGAGTCAAATAAAAAACTATGCTATCGTAGCAAACACAAAACATAAAAAAATACTAAAAGCCTGTGGAATGAAAACAGATTTTGTAATAAACTAAAAATTTTGAAACAATACATGGCATTGCAAACCTAATATTATGTAACCCTGCTTTTGAAGAAAACCGTTGGATTCAATTGCAGCGGCGTTATTTTACATTTTCATAAATCGCCAGACCACAGACGAGTGACTAGATGGGATTGGTGACTCGTCTCTGCGGAATGTAAAAGTTTGAGGCTGAGGCTACACGAGTCCTGTCCACAACTGATAACAACAAGCATTGATAACATCTTCTATGAGAGTGGGGAGATGAACGTTGGACACTTGTTCATTGCCCAGAGTCTTACTGGTGACAATGTTCACTTCCTACAACAAGTTTCACAAGTAAATAATTTGTCAAAATGTACAGTGGAGTTAAAAAATACACTTTGGAAGGGAAGATATTTAATTTTATATACATCCACTTTAAATCAGAACAGAATTTGGACTAATGTCTTTGTCTTTATAAAAGATTTCAAAAGGATTTCTATGATAAAATAAATACACCAGCGATGGTAACGATTGCAAGGTATGGCATCCTGTTTAGCTGTTTAACAATACATCATAAACTTAATTATACTTAACAAATACTTTAATTTAATACCAAACTTGTTCCTTAATATTATTAGTTACTCCAACAGTATTGGTGACTGCAAGTGAAGAACTTAAATAATTTATGGAGAAAAAGTAAAATTAAGCAGCAAGTGCAAGTTTGACGGTAGTGTTGCTGAAGGTCTAAATCCCGGAAGGTCTATTAGCCCTTCGGCATGCAATTTGGATTTTGAACTTGTTGCTAAGGGTCTAAACGGGCAGTAGCAGAAGGTCCAAATCCCGGAGGGTCTAAATGAAGAAAACTTATCCTCTATTACTGTTTTAGACCTTGCAAGATTTTATACCTTAAGCACACAACCTATATCTTCTAATTAAATTATAAAAGTCCTAATATAGATGTGACACAATGCCCACATTTTTAAAAACGCGAAAAGTGGTCTAATTCTCATTTTAGACCTTCTGCCATTCGTCCAAAATGCAAACTGTATGCCGAAGGTCTAATTAGACCTTCTGGGATTTAGACCATCAGCAACTCTCATTTCATAAACATTTCATTAGATAATACGGGTTGTGTGCCAAAGGTGTGAATCCCGCAAGGTCTAAAACAGTAACAGTGGATAAGTTTTCTTCATTGACTGTAGTTTAAGACCTTCCACGATTTAGACCTTCGGCTACTACCCATTAATAGACCTTAAGCAACAAGTACAAAATACAAAATGTGTGCCCTTCCGGGATTTAGACCCTCAGCAACTGATCCAACATTGACATGTAAAGATGGTGTTTTATAGAAAAAAAAGTTGCATAAAAGAGGCAGTTAGTCTTAAATCGCGTAACATTTAAGTCCAAAACCAACTAGAGACAAATCTGAAAGAAGATTGAGGATATACCATACCATCCCAAGAGGTATAGTACATTTATAACGATACGCCTGGTTGTATATTTTAAGATGAACACAAGTGCAGGATGAGAGTTGAACGAATATTAGTTGCTTTATTACTGGCTAAGATCAGATGTGTCTTAGCCAGGATCATTTATTAAAAGCCTAATGATCAAGAACAATTGAGTCTGAATTCAAACCATCAAAAAGCTTTTATTTTGTCCCAGGATCAAACTGTCAACCTTCTGATTACAAGGCTAGCACTATATCCACTAAGCTATCCAATAAGCTTACCCCTTGAGATGCATTGGAGTCTAAGGTGATCATAATGAATCCTAATGGGACCCGAGGATGCAGCACCAAATGATATAGCACAGCTGTGTCTGGAGATGTAAAGGACTTGCAGAAGTCTGTGTACTTGGCCTGCAGAAGCTTGGCGAGACCCTGGTACCAGACCAGGGGCTGTGTCAGCACCGGGCTGACTCTAGAGTCTACGTCGCTTAGGGGCTCAATGGACGCCAGATTCAGCAACTCCGAGAACTCTGCGTAGGTAGGAATCAACCCCTGGGTGATCAATAACTCCATATAAATATAAAAGTTGTAAAATACTAAAAAACTAATCAATCATCATCAACTTAATACAATCATAGTACCTATTTGACGAGACTTCAAGACTGAGAATTATCGGTAAATATCTGCAATCTGCAGATCAATAACTGTTCTGAATTAGTATAGTGAGGTTAAATAAGATGAGTTTAGGCATGTAAATTATGTTAGCCTTAATTGTTGGATTATAATTTTTAAACTTTTTTATTTGCATTTGTGTGTTTTAGCTGCTAAAAAATGCTATGTGTAAGTTTTTCCAGCTATGATTGGATTTCTAGACTAATATTTTTCAAGGTGGTTTCTCACATAATGGTAGGATCGGATACCAGCTTCTGATGTGTTTTGAGAAACTAATTTTATAGTCGAATAGATTACAGAATAGGACCGGCCTTTGAAGGGGTAGGGGAGGTGACGTTGCCACATCGTTCTTGCCTGGTGAGCTGCCTTTCAGCTAAAGCCTGGCATCCCGTTGCCTCTAATCTTTCCACTTGTATGGTAGTTCATCACTACAAATTATAAATTTTTTTTTTCTTTGTGGTATCGGTTACTGTTGTTATATTTGGAATAAAGATACATTCATCCTATACATCATTATGGTTTGATTGTTTGCACAATTATCTTCAAAATAGCTCAAACAATTCCCAGATTTAGTTTTTGAAAAACATATGAACATATTAATAAATACAAAATGAAAATAAATTTGATAGGGTCACATGCTTCTGGAAATATGTTGTTGACTTTCGGCATAAATTTGGCAGCTATGATTTTTAAATAGATCGCTGTAACAATAACAGTAAATTTATATGGCCAAACAAAGTTGTTTGTAGAAACAAGTTTATAGCAGGTCTAAACATGTTGCTCAGCTTAGAGCATCATATATGAAACAAAATTAACATGAAAATGAGCACGCAAAGGAACACCACGTCCTTGGGACGTTGCGTGTACTTATGGTCGTCCACGTCGCGTAATACTGTGTTGTCCGTATTTATTGTGTGGAGCGTAGCTCACAGGTGATTTCTTGACAAAACAAGAGGATGTCTGCAAAACGCATAGGTCGGCTGTCGGGCAGAGAAAGACTGAGCTTGTGGCACAACTTGGCAACAGTGGACCGTTTTCTGAAAGTTGATTGGATGCCGCTCGCCTCTCCCCACCCGACTCTAGCTGGTTTTGGTCCTATTCTGTAATCTATTTGACGATAGTTTGTAACACTATATAACAATAGTGGAAAGGGGAGAGCTTGGTATAGAACTACAATGTGTTACATGGAGAAAGCGGTTTGTCCAATGAATGGTACCTTATTCAGAAATCTTTGTAATAAAACCTTTTTTGAACATGAGTGACAAAATGTTCAACTATAGAATACATCCATATAATTAAATGAATTTAAATCTATCCAAAGCTACAACTTTTATGTTTACCGTGGAACAAGAAGAAGTAAGTTTGTTCCATAGGAAGTGTGTGCGGCAATGCAAAGAGACTTGGGTTATGATATCCTCTATAGATCCTCGAGCCTTGTTTGCTTGCTCCATGATCAGCTGTTGCATGAATTGTTCATGAGAAGAATAATATCCAAGGTAGTTCACCGACTCTGCTCTGAAAACGTACATAAACTCTCTCATTTCAGTTTGCATTACAGAAACATATGTTGACAACAAAGAGCCAATGCAGATAATTCTAATAGTCTCCTGCTGTAAGCAATATAGTTAACGATTCTGAGACTTTTAAGATCTTAAGAATAGAATCACAATATGAAAAAATACATTTTGAGGACTGTAATGCTAATGTTGTCACTCTTGGTTGCTTGAGAGGAAATGTTTCATTGCTGTTAAACACTCACAATTTATGTTGATCAGCACCTGTGTTATTTTAGTAATGTTAATAAAAACAAAGACTCTAAGTCATAAAAAAAATTATATGACTGAAAAAACAAGGAAACTTTTACAACTTTTACTGTTTAACAACATACTATAATAGTTGATCCGTTTAAAGTTTAATTTTCCTGTCTATATTATCATTAGTCATTTTGTTAGAAGGTACACCACCAAATGCTATAAAGGGAAAACAGTTTGCTTTCTTCAGTGGTAGTGTGTCAAATAATCGGTTCGGCCACACTCCTGTTCAGGAAACATGAGATTATAGAACATCTAAAACCTCCAAGTTGCCTGTACTTACTTAATCTCAACATTGTGCGATGAGGAACGCCTCTCAAACATATAACTTCCAGAACTTTGATGAGCCTCAGCCAACTCTTCAGGTGTCTCCTCAGGTATCGGAGGTGTTGTCTCTCGAGATAGGGTGTATAGAGTCAGGGGATTGGCTGTTGAAACTGTGCAGAACTTGCCTAGTTTCCTTTCGTTCTCCAGTTTAGCATAAGGTTCCCTGAACAAGCAACATACCATAATCAGTTTGATAGGTTATGTTAGCTTCTAACTGTCGCCAATTGTGAATGTGTATGGTTTGTACTACAATATTTGTGAGAAAAATGGAGCCCACAAAACTTAAAGGCTCTCAGACAGCATTATACACTGATTGGTAGTATTGCCATTATACCATAGATAAACAAGGTGTCCCGTAAGTAAACAACCAAACGTGGAAATGGTTGTATGGGGCAAAATAAAGAGAACATCGAGAATAATATTTTTTCCAAAATCGCTTCCTTAACCAGATATCTGCCATTTTGGTTTTTTCACATATACATTTTTATCTTTGAAATTTTCCAACTGATCATTATGAAACTTAGTATGTATGTTGAAGTAAAACAGACCACGTAAAAAAAAATTATACTTTAATCCAATTAAAAATTTCAGAATGGCATACAGCAACAGATTTTGCAATTAGCATTATCAAATCTTAATAGCTTAGCCTTGTTCAACATCATTGTTTTAAAATTATGTGTTCATAGTGATGTAAACACTCCAGCTCAGTGTAGGAATAAGGTGGATAATGAGGGTTACACGTATGTGACATACAAGAAGGATGAGAAATCTGAACCAAACACAGAGAGAGTTAATTAAATTCACAATGAGGCTAGAATAGGGAAATAAGAAAGTACACGGTGCTGGTGTCAGATTTGAACCAGCTTGGTTTGATGCGATAGGACCTTGATTTCCACACAAACCCGAATGACAAATTCAATGCAGCTGGTCTGAGTTTGAAACTTAAATCGTTGAAAAACATACATAAAAGCTTATATTTATTTATATATTAGTTGCAGAAGTTGGTTAACCATTGCCACTGTAAGTTTAATAAAATAATATTCACCTTCTGCTTGTGAGCAGGATGTAGTAACATAGCCTCAGAATGCTGGGGTCTGAACTTTCTTCATTGGCTACGACCAAGACAATGTCATATTCGTAGACTTGTTTGTTGTCTTGGCTGTCTCGGTACATCACTTGAGTAGCGGAACTCTGTTGTTGTACCAGCACATACTCACTGGGCTGCAAAATAGAAACTGATCTGATGAGAAATGCACATGAAAATAACATGTTTAGCTACTAATTTTTCGGAATAGTCAAATCAAATCATCCTTTATTAGTTTTGTACACAATATACATGAATAGTGTCAATACAATAATCGTGACAAAACAAATATCTTAATAATACCATTGAGTATACACGAATAAGAGTTGTCAAATAATGCTATTAGTTGTTACCGATTTTGGCAACGTAGTTCGGGCCGCTGACGCTTGGGGCGTGGAAGTCTGTCGGTAGTGCAGTGCCCTCTGAGGACCTTTTAATAATTTAGTATTAAAAATGTATTGTAAAACAACAAAACTAGAAAAAAACAAACGAATTTCATCAACAAAAATGAAATTTTACAACCTACAATGAAAGTAATAATAAAAAACAACCAAACTGCTCTACCGACAAGCCCAAGGTGGAGTAGTTTGGGCCGCTGACGCTACTCTGTAACAGTGCTGTTCAGGTAACGATAACCTCCATTGAGTGACTACTCTAGTACATGTATACTCAATGACAATACTGTACAAGAGTCAGTGGAAACATCATTTACCTTATAACAGCATTTATTGCATAACAACTTAAATAACTGCTTTTTAAACGATTTGAGGGAAGCTGCAGACTTAATCGAACCAGGAAGTTCTACTGTTTTGAGGTTTTATGTTGGGCAGTATGACTGGCCCTTCGAGTAGGATGGACAACTGAAGTGAAATTTATCCAAGCTGCTGAGCAAAAGGCACAGCTGATCACCTAGCTAATTAAGACAACACTATTACTAAAAATTTTTTGTCTATGGCAAAATGTTTAAGTTATACGATAAACATAAAACATACAGTACAAAGCCACTTAATTAAGCCCTTATTATCAGATCACTTTTGTTTTGCAACTGGTTTCTTTAAAAGTCTGTCAAAACTTACAGAACCGATGGACAGTGGATTATCATCCAATTCCTGGCCAGGCATTGCCACTCTTATCACCTTCATGGGGTAGTTCTCTTTATGACTTAGCAGATAGTTAAACAGCATGTTGGCAGGGGTGGACATTTTGGCCATTACCAGGTTTCCTAGAATAAATTTGCTGTTAGAATAATAATTAACTATACAAAAACCTACAGGATTATTAAGCATTTAAAGAGTATTTCAAATTATTGCTGAAGTTGCTATTAGTTTTAATGCTTGCTAAAGTATGTTAAAAGCAGGGGGGTTTAACTTATGCTTAGTTATTTGTAAAATAACTATATAAAATATGTCCAATGTCACAGGGATGCTTCAGAACTTAAAACTACTACTTACTATTTTGAAAATACAATACAATCTACATTGTGTGGCGTAAAAGTATTACCATGTATTGATGGTAATACTTTTACGCCACACTACACTATTTTGACGAACTTCACACCCAAGGATTTAGTCCAGAAACAGCTGTTTGCCGCCAGCTTAATCAAATGGGGTTTCATTGTGTACTACTGTACTGTAATGAGTTTTACCAGGCACCAATCAGCTGATTATACTGTATTTGGGTGGCAATGAGTGGTTATAAACAAAAACATAACCTCTATGACTGGTGATTTTTAGTCCTTTAGTTGGTGGTAATATATAAGGATTTGTACAGATTTATTAGTATGGCGTAAACTATTGTACGTAACTCGTCCAAAATGTGTGTACCGGACTCGTATGGTAATCCTGTGCGAGACGAAGTCGAGCAAATATACTATTGTTCGATACATCGTTCAATGCAACAATGTAGATTGTATTGTATTTTCAAAATAGTAAGTAGTAGTTTTAAGTTCTGATATTGAAGAAATATTTCCAGTTTCTTCAAGTTGAGCCTATTGCACTATATTAACTTATATACTTATCCAGTTTTGATGAGTTTTGTTTTTATGTTAGACTCACAAGTCTAATGTAATCTATTGTGTTATTAGTGTAACTGACAAATTCCAATAGGACAAATATCCTACCACTTGATGATATTCTGTTCAACAGTCACCTAAGAAAGTTTTGGGACAAGGTGAATAGCCTATATTAGTCATGTATAAGCAATTGAGGGACTACAATGTACTCTCAATAGTAAACACACATCAGACTCACCTGAATGCACTAAGCTGTAGGCGTAGTTAGGAGCTTTACTGTAGTACTTCAAGAAATCATCCAAGAACCCTGTGACGTGATAGCCTGTCCGCAAGCAAGTCTCAACTCCACAAACGAACCTGGTCAATGTACGGAGGTGGTAGTCGTAAGTGAACGAGTGAAGATGCATCAACACTTTCACTTTGTCACATTCGTCCAAGAAACTCAGAGTAAACTGTAAAAAGCTCTTGTGCTCAGACATATTCGAGGAGTTCAGTATAATAATGAATATTTTCTTTTAAGTACCTTTGGTCATCATCATTCAACTATCTAATATTGGATTGGTTTTATAGTGTTATAGTTCCATTATCAAACCTTAGAATAGAATATCACTTTATTGTCACGATAAATGCACATTTCTAATGTTCCAGCACAGCTGGAGAAACAGAGGACATTGTCAATATTGAATGTCTGCTGAAGCTGAGTCAACTCTAGTCAGTCCAATTGGGACATTCTGGATTGAATCCATTAATAAGGCCATATTAGGGTGCGTAAAAAAAATCTATAATTTTTTGCGAGTTGTAATACCTTGGAAATGTTGCTAAATTGTAAGACCAAAACAGGGTAAAAATATTAAAAATATTGGTTGTTATCATTCGGATACTAACCTAACAAAAACAACAGACGAAGTCAGTGCTGGTCGCGCATAGCAATACAAATTCACTTTAGCGTGGAATTTTCGGGTCAGTGACCTGGGTGACGTCATGTGATTCTGAAGTTTAAGATTCCAAAATTGAACAAGGATAGTGATGATAATGTATCCCTGAGCTCACAAACTAAAATTTACGATTCTAGTGACAGCAATCAACGATCTTTACCTTAACTTCCAAAAAAAAAGAAGTTAAGTTATATAGCCTATAAGTTTATATAGCCTGTACAAGTTTATATATAGTGTATAAAACAACGAGATTTCTTATTTATTTAATACATTTCTTTCCCACTCCTAATCATCAAGCATTATTATTGTATAGTATAGTGTGATAAACACAAGTTTGTTGGAAATATTAACAGTATTCTTGGTAAGTACCTGAGATATGAGTCCACTTGAAGCCTTCCCTTCCAGTCTAGAACACTCGAGCGCATGCAGCTTGGCGTAGAAGAAAGGCTCAGACATACTCAGTTCAAACAGTAATATCCCTCCCAGCAAAGACTTCTGGAGATAACAAGCTGGGTTTGCCTCCTTGCGGATAGTTTTGGCTGAGCGGAACCTAACAAAAGGCAAGGATATGTGTCTTTCAGTATTGGTTTAATATGGTTATACGGGGTGTCCCTTAAACAAGTACAGTTTAGGAATAGGTGTTAATGTTTCAAAATAAAACTAAAATCAGGAACAAACATTTTTTCCCAAAACGCCTCATAATCGAGATATCCGCAATTTTGTCTTTTTGTGTTTCATATTTCTAAAAAACTATTTAAGATGTATTTATCAAATTCAGTATACAGTTTTTGTTTTTACAACTAAAATCTATCTGCAAAAAAATCATTTAAAATTTATTTTGGATTCAAAGTGTTGAACATTTAACATCTTTATAATATAAATTATTTTAAAACTATAATATGTTGACCTTTAAAGATGTAGACTCACAAAAACCTAGAATTATTATACCTACCTAGGATTAAATATGTTCAATAAGCTGCCGGATGTCTGCCAAAACTTGTCTGTATTTAGCTGTTTTCTTTTTAAAAGCTTAAAAATTGGCTTTTGACCAATCCTTTCTACTATGTTAGAGAATATTTTGAAACTAACCCACTTGAAACTGATTTTATGTCACTTTTAAGCTAAATGTTGTATATAGTCTTGTAAATGCTCCAGTTCATCAAAATTATACAGTACTTTTTGAGTTGAGTATATTTCAAGCTATAATCAATTTTCCTCTGGAAGCCCTACCAACAATTTTCTTCCAGCACATGATGGTTTTTTGTTATAAAATTCCAATCTATGGACACCAACAGCAATTTTGTTTCTATGCCGGGTGCTATATTTATCGTTATCCCCTAGTTTATTTAGGTAACATTCTTTCAGACAAAATATTATTAGTTAAAGTTAAAAGAACGGCATGAACATAAATGCCGTACAGAACTTTAACTCAGGAATGAAGAATTACTAAGGTTATCCAGGAAGTAAAGAACGTTTCGCTCTGACCCTGCTAGGCACGCGCCGATCTCGTAAATTTTGGTGCGTGTGCACTCGGCAACTCAGGCGGCGTCCAGCTGTGACATCGGGAGCATTTCAAGGAAGGCTGTCCGTGTTTTCACAATTTTAACTTAAAATGAGAGCTGCGTTTAAAAATCCCGCCAGTTAAGAGATGCGGTCAGTGATATGGTTTTTGTTGAAAAAAACTTAAAACCGAAACTTCTCCTCGAGTTTCACGGACTTTGTTGTTTGAAATTATCACACAACAAAGCAGAAGCTCCGTTATCGGGTATCGGACTGCACCATTTTTTCAGAACTTTAATTCATTACGTTGTTTCCTTAAACTTCACAAACTTGGTGATAAATGTTTATTCGTATTAAGTTTTTTGCTAACAAAAATCGTATTACTGACCGCACCTCTTAACTGGCGGGATTTTTAATCGCTCATCTTAAGTTGAAATTGTGAAAAAACGAACAGCGAGAGAATGCTCGAGTTGTCACAGCTGGACGCCGACTGAGTTGCCGAGTGTGCATGGACCAAAATGTACAAGATCGGCGAGCGCCTAGCGGTGTCAGAAAGAAACGTTCTTTACTTTCTGGATAACCCTTTTATACTCTAGGCTTTAACCACTAACTGCAGCCCCTAATAAGATTTCTATTTTTACTCCATTACTTGATATTTGTACAACAAAGGCATATTATAGTTTGAGTTATTTAAAAATGTTTTTAATGAAATAACTTAAGAATAAGGAAAAGGCAGAGGCAAAACTAGGGGTGGAGCAATGATACCAACCCTTTTTTTGGAGAGGAAGCCACAATCTGAACAGGGATGAAGCCCAGACTTTGAAGATATTGCTTGTATTCATTGATGAAGTTGCTGCACAGATTTTGATGCCATTTTTCTTCCAATATCGGAGATGATTCTTGAAGTGAACTCTGTACAATCGATAAACAAATTTTAGACTGTTTGTGAGTAAATTTTAGACTACGTAGAGTAGAACAAGCTCCCTATTCGATCAAAGATTTTTTAAGTTGCCGAACAAATTAAGGCTCAGTAGTCAGTATTTCTGTTCGTTTTAGTATTTTTTAGAGTTTGAGTTTAGTTTTATTTGTATTCTCCTATTTCATAAACTGCAGTTTGAGGAATGTCCCTAAAAATGTTAAAAAATGTAAAAATGTATCTTACCTGAGATATACTTTTGTGGGATTTCAGAGATGAATCACGTGTTGAGGCACTTTGAACTCTCCATCTGCAAAAGTAGGAATAGTTTTAGTTGTAAGATATAAACATTTTCCAATCAACTGTCACAATTTAACGTCAACAATTGAAATTGTACATTGAGACAAAACATGACAAAATGTATCAGTTGTATAAAGTGTATTTTAATGAACGACTAGGGCAATACTGTATATGCCCGAGTAATAACTAGTGTAAAAATACTATATTAAGTTTTACCTTGATATACATACCAAGTTTCATATAGATTGGTTAAAACAATTTAAAGATAAAAATGTTTATGTAAAAAATACAAAATGGCAGATATCTGGTTAACAACACAAATTTGGAAAAAATTTAAATTTTGATTTTCTTTCTTTGACCAATATAACTTCCCTGAATGAAGCAGATAAGCATAAAACTACAGTTGGATTTTTTTAAGCTAGAAGCGGTTAAGGTGTGGAGGAATGTCTTTGAAGATGATCCTTTTTGGCTGTAGTGGAATCATGTGTTCATTCATACATGTCAACTTTTGAAATTAAATCAAAACAAACAAACTGGCATGTTGTCAATTAGGCATCTAGGGCCCGTGTTGTATTACTTACGAAAGAATGCTTATTTAATATAAAATGAATTAATTTAGTATATTTTATTGTCACATTTATAAAAAAACATTCAGTATTTAGGCTACTGCATTTTATAAACCAAACTCGAATCTTGCTTCCTTGGCCTATCGTATAATGTTATCCTCCTGTTACGTACGTGGTGAACTTATCAGATTGCATTAGTGAATTATTAGCAATACAATTAGCTGTTAATTATAATTTAAATTGGTAAAAGTGTTAGTCTATAAAGGTTTACCTCGTCATCTCAAGAGTATTTAATTCTGGTCCCTAACTTAAAACCCTTAAAAGCTGGGTCTATATTTATTTTTTAAGATATTTCCAAACAAAACGTAAATTATCATTACTGTATGTCCCAACAGTTATTTTATGTGTATCCCAGTCATAGCAACTACATTATTCTATTAATATAATGATCAACATTAATTTTGCAAGAAGATTCAATATTTTTATATTTGCTTGTCCAAATTAATTATTTTCAAAGTGTGATGCAATTTTTTATCCCCCTTAAAATTTGTTACCTTACATCACTTATCATTTGGAGACATTAATTTAATGACAACTTAATCATTAGTTTATTTGGAATTAGGAATCAGGTCTCTATTTCACAGTAAATAATCTCTAAAAATGGCCAAGTACTTTTATAAAAGTAGGCTAGAGTAAGTTTAAATTTAAAATATATTTAACTATTGACAAATCCAAGAATGTATGCCAGTTTGTTTGTTTTGATTTAACCTCAAAATTTGACGCTTATTAACACATGATCTCACTACAGCCAAAAACATCTTCAAAATCTTCAAAAATATTCCACTAAACCTTAACCGCTTCTAGCTTCAAAAATCCAACTGTACAATGGAACATTAATGTATTTTCCCTATGATTTTTTTTCTATTGAATAGAATCTCTTCAAATTTGATGAAATATATTCAGGAGTGTTATGATCACCTTGGCAGGAACAGCAATGGAGTGACACAGTAGTGAATAACCCTTGAGTAAAGCATGAACACTTCTAGTACATCCTCAACTATGGAGGTATTGGAGGTCCCCCCTCTCATTTGCCACATTGTGTACAGCTTCTTCTGGTGACCTGTACAGACACACTTTCAATAACTAAATACAGGTGCCAAAGACATTTGTACAACCATATTAATTTAGTCGGAATCATTTTTATTAATTTATTATTCATTATATTTTAGAAGTTCATTATTACTTTTTTAAAGTGGTTTAATAGTCAATTGTTTGAACAAATTCACATCAAAACCATCCCACATATGAGAACCGGAACTCTAGAGATAAGACTACCATGTGACTGTTCAGTTTCCCAAGAGAAAAAAATAATCATTGACACTATCATTCCTTGTGATTCCAGAGATCACCAATCACCAGCCATTTTTCATTTAATTCACCTTTCGTGGAAATGTAAACAATCTCAAAGTCGACCCACTAGACAGAATCGACAGATCGGAATTCAACAATCAGTATCAGAGATGATAATGGTGAGCCGACTTACGATCCCTTGCACATTGCCTCCAGATTCAATGATAATTTTGTCAAAGTCAATGTTAATAACTCAGAGAATGGATTGAAAACAAGCGATGCATTGGTAGGACGACCTAAAGGCTCACTCTTCCTCCATCCAACAACAAAGGAAGAAGTAAAAGAAGTCATTGCCTCTCTGAAAAACAAAAATTCTGCTGGTTCAGATGAAATTTCAGTACAAATCTTAAAGAGTATGTCAGATCTACTAGCTGGACCAATTAGCCACCTGATTAATTTCTCTTTTGTCTCGGGTTGTTTTCCAGATGCCTTAAAACTTTCGATAGTCAGACCAGTACATAAAAAGGGTGATGAAAAAGACCTCAATAACTATCGGCCTATATCCATTTTGACTGCTATCTCGAAGATTTTTGAAAAGGTTGTTTCAATTCGTTTGACAAATTTTTTAAAACAACATAATATAATATGTGAAAACCAACACGGATTTGTGAAAGATAGATCTACGACGAGTGCAATGTTTGCCCTCATTGATGACATAGTCTGCTCTCTTGATAAAGGAAACTGTTCCACGGGACTGCTTTTTGACTTGAGTAGAGCTTTTGACTCTGTTAATCATGACCTTCTAATAGAAAAATTACATAACTATGGGATAAGAGGTTTGGCGTTAGAATGGTTCAGGTCATACCTGAGGGACAGGAGGCAGTGTGTACGGGTATCGTCAGTCGATGAGCATGGATTTCTGCGGAAATTCAATTCACCTGAGCTCCCTGTCTCGAGAGGTGTGCCCCAGGGCTCCATCTTAGGCCCTACACTTTTTCTCCTGTTCATTAACGACCTTCCCTTGGGTGTTGAATCGGCCAGGACCATTCTTTATGCCGACGATACATCTCTTTCCTTGTCCAGCCCTGATGTAGAGACTCTTGAGCAATTGACCTTCTCTGAAGCCAACAAGCTAGTTCAGTGGTTTGAGAATAATCTGCTTTCGATAAACTCTCAAAAGACTCAACTTCTCAATTTTCATATCTCTGATCGATCTTCTAAGTATTTTAGTTTTCACTTGGATGAAGTTCCAGTACACCCAATAGAGAAGACACCGTTTCTTGGGCTGATCTTAGATGAGAAGATTAATTTCCATGACCACATTCAATACGTCATCAATAGGGTAAGTTCAGGGATATTTGCCATCCGCACCCTTGCAAAGCTATCTAAGCCCGATGTCCTTCTTTCTGCTTATTACGGTCTCATCTTCCCTCATCTCGTGTACGCCTTGCCTATCTGGGGGTGTGAGAACAAAAGAACTCTATTTTTATTCCGCCTTCAAAAGAGGGCAATCAGAGCCATCTTTTCAATGAATAGACGTCAGACTTGTAAACCAGTTTTTCTATCATCCGAAATATTAACGTTCCCATGTCTCTACATCTACAAGACATTATCCTTTCTGCACCAAAACACTGGCAAGTTTAACACTCCAACAGACCATCATTATAGTTTGAGATCCACAAATACCCTCCCAGTTCCTAGACACCACACTTCCTTCTTTCAAAACCATCTCCGATATAATGCAATAAAAATGTTCAACCATCTTCCCTCTCACCTCAAAGCAGTATCAAACCATCTGAAATTTAAAAAAACCCTAAAATCTTTTCTTTTAAATAAAGCTTATTACAGCGTCCGTAAGTTCCTGGCTGACGGCTAAAATAAACTATCAAACTTGTTTGATCATAGGTATCCTTAGTGTAAAAAAAGAACAGTTATTATTTCTTATTTAAGTCAAGAAACTGTATGTTTTGCTAAATGACATGACCAATGCATGTAATTGTTATTTTTGGTTAAATAAATGAGTTATTGAGTTATTGAGTTAACAACATCACAAACTTCATAATAGACGATTGGAATATCACTACTCCCACATTTGTTGTAAGGAATTTATAACCTGTTCAATTGTTTAGTCATGTAACATTATAGAATAATTGGACCGACATTTTAGATGATAGAAGAGTAATTATGTATATCTTATTTTTGTAAAATCTAACTTTTAATCAACAGTTATCAGTTCATGATTATGACACAAGAAATAGAGGTAATCTTGTTAAACCCAATATTAGACTGCACAAGTACTTTAAAATCCATAAATAAATACCAACAGCTATTGTTCTTCAATAAACTTCCAGAGATTGTGAGGCTGTTGCCTAATAAAAAATTTAATTATGTAATTACAAAATGGTTAAAAAGTAAGGCTTTCTACACTGTAGAAGAATTTTTAGGCGCTAAGACCGATTGTATTATAGATGCCTATTGTAATGTTCTGGTATTTAATGGCAAATAAATATTCTTGATTCTTGAACCTATAAGCCACACATCCTATTGGTAATCCTAATCAGCCAATAAGAAGGTCTAATGAAGAAGATGAAGGAAGGGTGACGAGTCTTGGAGTTGGAGGACCTGAGAGGAAAAATCAAGGAGATTACCGTGGGCTACAACGAAGATCGGAGTGCGTGTGTCTGTGTGTGTGCTTCAGGGACCATTAGCAGTATGTAAAAAAACATAACTAAATTCATAAAGATGTAAAACAATCAAGTCATATAATTTGATATTAACTAAATCTTAAATTTTTTTTCTTGTAACTTAACGTTGTAAATCTTGTTCTTACTATTGTTAATCTTTGTTTTTCTAAGTTATTATTTTGTGGTGCCCCCTTAGTAAATTCTTTGTTTACTAAATTTATTTGTTTTATTACACGTTTGTTTGGTCAAACCTGTAACAGTCTTATGTCTCTTTCAACCTTTCACCTCTCTACAACAGCTAAGCGAGTGTAACTTTTAAGTGACCTTATTTAAAGAGAGGCATGGGACTCGCAATAGCTATTCAGAAACCTCATTTCCTTCTATCCCTGAGTGTCGAGGACCCAACGTCACCATGCTGTAACTGCTCAGGGCAGATACTGTTGTGAGTTCAAGTCTAAGATCATCTTGGAATTGAACTCGCACGAGTTGAGTGTGTTAGTGTATCCTGACTGACTTTGAAAATTGAGATGTTCATTTCCCTGAAGACCTGTCTCAGGTTCTCTCTGGCATACTCTATGATCAGGGTGATCTCGGTCTGAAACACCGTTGGTTGTACTCCTATGGGAAGACTTAAGTCTACCCTGCCCTACCTTTAGACTTAGAACTTTCTGTATGTCATTCCAGACCTCCATGTGGAAGAGGATTCCTTCTGAACATCCTCTCCTCCTTGGTAAGCAATTCAATGAACTTGATGATTGGTCATATTCAAGAGACGATTAGCTAAGCACCTCGTTTATCCTGGGCACGGGTGTCTAGAAGCTGCTGGACACTCGCTACTACGAGGTCGGAGGTCTGTTGCCTCAGGGGAGCAGGTCTTGTATCTCTTAACACCTCCTGTAGGTGAGCTGCAGACACTGTAGGCCCACCACTACTGGTCGCACCACGGCTGCCAACCGCTCGGAATGTCATCAGGCTCTCTACATCTCCTATCTGTGACATGAACGGGTTGTTGGTTACCTGGAAATGTTGCAAAGAGTTAAAATACTTGGACTGTTCCAAACTTACCATTCAATTGTTGGAATACACTATCTCAGTTAACAAGTAAAACTCGTGTACAATAGAATCTAAAATGAGAATGATTATAATTTATAATCTTGCTAATATCTTGTCACGTTAACAGTTAAGGAACACAACAAGAAGACCCATGTGCAAATTGCACATTTTAATACGGTTCGTAACTTGATTCAAAGGCAGAACGAATAATGCAATACTCTTATACTTTTAAAAGATTGTTTGTTTGAAAACTACTAATTTACTATGAATTAAATTTTTTGCCTTTAGATCTACACCAAAATACTTCCGCCGTAATTTTCCAGATTGAATTGATTTTCAATTAAATTTAAATAACATTAGGTTTAACGAGTACCTAGGTTTGCTGCTACAAGGAAATTAATAAATAATGTGTTTTTAATAAAATATTAATAGCTTGGTATAAGATAAATAAATTTGCCAAGATTGATCAAAATATATCCATAAACGAGCAAACTACAACATTTTACAATATATTCCATAAGAATAACATGGGAATTTTAAATTTCCTCTGTTACTAATAACCGTACAAAAACAATTTGATATACTAAATTATTTGGTTTTTAACCTCTTTAAGAAGGGTTGGAGAGAAATTGAGAAATTTTATGTTTTGAGGGTCAAAAATGAGAAAAACCAATTTTTATCCCATAAAACAAGTAATTTTTCTCTTGTAAAACCCCATTCCCATGGTCCAAACATGGTGGTTCGCGAACTCATTCAAGTTTATCCCGCATTACACCTTTAAACCAAATTTCATCAAAATCGGACAAAAATTACTAAAAAAAAAACGGTGCTTTATTAATCCTTCAGTCCACTTCTTGTTGCTTTTTATCTCAAGTTTAAATCAAGCATAAAAAACATGGGCATTTTTGTTAGACTTGTAATTTGTTAGATTACCTGAGAGTCAGATTTCCTGGCCATGGGCTGGTTGAGGAAGAGGCCCATTTTCTGACAAGTGACTCCAATCTGAAGGTTTGACCTAGCAGTGAGCCACTGGCCCAACATACCTATCTGTTTGACTAGCAACTCTACCAAGTCTTTCGCCCAGTTGTAGGTGTGCAGAATTATCTAGAAACAAGATAAATAGTATAACCAAGTGCTCAAGATCTGGCAAACCAAGTAATGTTGTCGTATAACCGTGTGCTCAAGATCTGGCAAACCAAGTAATGTTGTCGTATAACCGTGTGCTCAAGATCTGGCAAACCAAGTAATATTGTCGTATAACCGTGTGCTCAAGATCTGGCAAACCAAGTAATGTTGTCGTATAACCGTGTGCTCAAGATCTGGCAAACCAAGTAATATTGTCGTATAACCGTGTGCTCAAGATCTGGCAAACCAAGTAATGTTGTCGTATAACCGTGTGCTCAAGATCTGGCAAACCAAGTAATATTGTCGTATAACCGTGTGCTCAAGATCTGGCAAACCAATTAATGTTGGGATTAATTTGAAAAATATTTTAAATACCAAGGTTTACAACTTTCTTAGTTTCAGTCATGATAGGTTCATATAAATACAAATTTTAGGTAGAATCAGATACAATTCTTGCGTAGTTATCCACATATTGAAAGGTCGGTCTTGAGAAGAGTTTAAAAATATCAAAGACTTGATTCTGAACCCATTTGCAAAAAGTTATATTAAAAAAGGAAATACCCAGTCACAGTAACTATTTTCATAAATGGCAAATGTAAACGTTTAATTTTTTACTAGTGTTAGGACCAATGCACAAAAAAAATAAATTTGACATGACATGAGTGGACTGGTATTGGGAATTCAGTGACTTGAGGGTTTGACATAAAAAAATCGACATGTGGTCAATACATTTATTTTACTCTACCTTTTAACATTTGGGTAACATAATTATTCTTACTTTAATAAACTATTTTGAATTTATGGTACATATTATCTGGGCAGATTAATATAACGATTTTACCAATTAGTTGTATGTTTGAGGCTTTGGGAAAGGAAAGAGGTGGTAAGTGGCCACATAGTCTTTAGATTTGTCTGAATTTAAAAAAGGAATAATTATTGTTCACTGTTCACTTGAGAGAAAAACTGTACAATAGGGAAGAACTCTGGACATGTTGCTTGCTTCAAGTCATTATTGGAAAAGAGAAGGAGAAAGTGGATATACCTCCCCAGATAAAGTAGTTTTAAAAGTCTTCCACTTGATGGAAGCACTAATCAACACACAAAATAGTTTGCTAATTTTCCACTAGAGTTCAGTAAGGATATTTTTCAAGGATAGCCTAAACAATTACCTAATTTTATTTTTAAAACTCTAGTAATTTTATGAAAAAAATAACAATATTCTTTTTGCTTATGACATTAAATTTGTAGTAAAGACAGGCCTTTTTTACACTTATATTATTACTAATAGTAAATGTTTAATACTCAACTAAAAGTTGTTATGAGATTCGTCACAGATTTTACTGTCGCCTTCAACTTATATTATAACTGTATCGGGAAACTGAAGAATGATATAAGTTTTAAAATCATAATCCTACTGTTTATTCACTTAACGATTTTGCTAACCTTTTCATTGTTCACAATGGCTATGAGAAATCTTTGACGAGGCACAAACTGTATGATATCTCCAGTCGTTGAGATCAAGAAAGGAGAAAACTTCTGCAACACCTTCTGAGCTGTAACCATATACATAAAACATAAATTGTAAATAACTTGTGACTAGATTGGTAGAAAACAAAAACATTTGTTTGTATTTCCAGTAACTAAAAAATATTTACATTACTTGGAGTGGTTAAGGTAACTTCTTTGAACTTGAAGTTATAGAAATAGAAATTGGTTTTGTAAACTAAGTGGTAATTTGGCTGCTTCGAGGTAGCCAAAGACATGAGAACGTTGAGAGCCGATGAAGAAGATGCATGAGATCGAAAGAAGAGGAGGCTATTGGTTGGTTTTGAATAGCCATGGGAGTTTTTTTCTTTGTCCTAGGACACTAGACATGAACCCGGTATTGTTTTTCACAATACTTCAGGCTAGACCTAGGGGTTGTGGCATTATCACTTGTGATAAAATCCATTGGTGATTTGGTGCGATTTGAACCCGGGACCTCAGGAAGTCCCGCGCTCTAACCACTTGACCAGCTCGCTCCCCCATGGCCATGGGAGTATGACAAAGAGTAAGGAACCTTGAACTTCAACCAGGTCAATATATAACGACTAAAATTATATTGCGAAACTACATTATCTCAAGGAAATTGTATAAAATTGTATCTCAAGACTAACAATAGTTTCTGTTATACATTCGCCTATTGTTATTTATTGTACTGTTGTGAGTTAAATAATGAAAGTCATTTCTTCAGCAAGATGGACTTAGACTAGATTTAATATTTTATGATTTACCATACATGTCAATTAATTTTTGTAATATGTTAAAGCTACTTTGTAATTGGGTCTAAACCTGTTTTGTAGCATTGTAATAAAATAAATGAATAAATCCATACTATTATAAAAAATCTAATGGTGTCTGTCTGCATGTGTATTACTAATAGGCGCAAAAACTACTAAACCGACTGGGCTTAAATTTTACAATAATATAGCTACCACACCAAGAATGGTAATAACACTATTCACACTTCGATACTGACCGTGGGCTTTGCCCCTTTGGCTTTAAAAATTCTGAGGTGAGGATTTTCAAAGTAAATATTTATTGGTCTCCATGGCTGCAATGAGAACACTCACGTTTACATTTGGTACGACATTTCAATGTGAACTGCCAAATTGCATATTTCACAATTTTACACAGCTGATCCAAAGGAGTTTTAATATTTTAAACAACTATCTATGTGGTAGGTTTATTAAATCTTTATCATAAGTTTATTCTAAAACTATGTCGATTGTGAAAGATGTTTAGGATTTAGCCCATAAATTACCATAAAAACTCCAAATACTGTATAAATGAACAGATTATTGTGATGATTAATTTGCTTTTCATATAATCAAAATAAGATTACAGTAGCATTGCCCAATCATGATGAAATGTTATTAACCTTGGTTCAGTAATAAAAACTGTAGCATTTAAAATCATAGCTAACTCAAACTCTTACTAAAAAAAACAAAAAAAAAACAACGTAAAGCAATAAATCACGTAAAGAAGAGAACAATTAATAGAAAGTCTAGTAAATTAATAAAAATACCAAGAATCAGTTTGAGTTATACTTCTCAATCCTAGTGTAGTAAAGTGTGTTGCATATTTAACTATTTCAGCCCATATTGATACACAGTAGCACCCCCATTATTCTTTTTTTAGATAGGCTATCACTGTTAATTTGGCAAAAATAAAGTGGAAGCAGAATAAAGGAGTCCAACACATATGTCTGCAACACATATGTCTGCAACACATATGTCTGCAACACATCTGTCTGCAATGTGCTACATTACAACAGATTTCATTGGCTCAGGACTGGTGACGACATGTAACCATGGCAACTTGTTGAATGTGTGAATGAAGAGAAACCCAAAAAAGAATGAAGGGTCAGAGATAATGACAACGTTTTAGTTATTATCTTTATGCATATGATTTTAACTTGTTTTAATGTCGTTCAATAAGTTACCTTTTTGTTTTGTGTTGCCTTGAGTGCTTGATGTTTTTGTTTCCTGATGCGCATTTCGCCACAGGTTGTGGCATCTTCAGAGGTCACTATGCTAAGCTTACATCTTAATATACAAAGTTTATGTCCATGAGTACTACGGTGATAGCTTATTCCCTATATGGGAAATTCGCTAATACCCCCGCCGCAGCAAATTGAAGATGCCACAACCTGTGGCGAAATGCGCATCAGGAAACGAAAACATCAAGAACTCAAGGCAACACAAAACAAAAAGGTAACTTATTAAAACAGTTCTTGAAACTGGGTTACATTACAAATGTCGTTCAGTTGTTTGTAGTCTCCCTTCCCACAATTACGCTGGGTAATCAAGGTTCTACTACAATATCTGGCTATCAAATTTCTCGGTAATAAATAAATAAATTAAAACTTTGTATTCCATAATTACTAGTGGAATGGGTATCTCAAAAATGCAATAAGTCCCAGCAAAACAGCCTTAACCAAACCAAAATAGAAATTATAACTGTCAAAGTAGTATTTTATTAGGGCTGAAAATCAGCTGATGATTTATTTAGTTTGAGCATTCCTTTAATCTGAACAGAAGACCAAACCGAATAAGTTTTTATCGTCATTAGTGGCAACTAGATAATTTGCTTGGCAACTGTAACAAGACAATCAAAATACTAGTTTGGGAGAAGTGTTTTGCACAAAACATACTACCTCACTGTAGACCCTAACATGTCTATCTTTGTTACAGCAGCCTATACAGTTTAAAATAATTTCTTGTCCTATATAACACTCACACTTGGGTTCCAGTTTATCCAGGCAGAGTCTAGGTTCCGCTCTGACAGAGGCACACCATTGTTCGAGGTTGCGGGCGATGAGAAGGCACGTTGTAGATAACGGGAGACTATAAGGCGGACTGCTCCACTTGTAGGGCAAGTAAGACGTGTCCTTCTGGTAGTAAACGTATCCTGAGGTACCATCACAGGACACCAGGTTCGATACTTCACTCAACGTTATGTTGACAGGATGTCTGGGGACACAATAGTATAAAAATATCCCCGCCGCAGCAAACCTGCAGACTAAGCAAATTTCAACTTGTCTGATTACATTATTACTTAAATATTCTCATATATAAGACCATTGACTATACACATAATAGACTTCCCATGTAATGTAAAAATATGAAGCCAAAAAACGTGGTGCAATATGTTGAGATGGTCGCCAACTAATGACAATATTCTGTGTTAAGTGATAAACCTGCTGTTTGCTATCATACTGCATTGGTTTGAATAAATATTCAACCCAATACACTAGTAAACTCTGGCCAGATGGTCCTGAACTTAATTTATTTTCTTGGCTTCAAACTTTCATATCACATGGGAAGTCTATTCTGTGTATAGTCAATGATAAGACATATTTATTCCAATTTTTAATAAAATTAGATTTAATGAGTGCTTCGAACTTCAAGTAGCTTATTAGAACAACCCCCCCCCCCCACCACCACCCAAAAAAGGAGCCAACGTAAAGCTTTCAACAAAAAAAGCTTCCTGGCAAATCTCTTTGGACTTTGAGTTACTGCGACTCGCACTATTTCAACATTTGCTGGTGTACAAAGAGTTTTGCGGCACCCTCAGAATATTTTTAAGGTTTAATTGTTTATCCTAAATAATTTTACCCAGTTCACCATTGTTTTCCAATCTGGAACAGCGCCATGATGACCAAGGATGGAATATGGTCCAAACAATCTCTGGGTTTTGCACAAGAAGCACTATTTTTAAATAGGTTTCCACATCAAAATCTCAGTGTTAAAAGCCCCAGCCATAATATTTACTAAAATGGCATAGTTTAATTGATGTTATAAGCACAGCTGATCATTCGTTGTTGCAACAATTTACATGTGACAGGTAAAACAAATTGTGGCGTTCTCATTGCCTCACCCTGTGTAATTTACTTACTGAGACTAAAGAGCTGTGAGTGTTGTAAATGATCTTAAACTGATGAACTATAGTATACCAACCTTTGAGAAAGAGCAACAATGTGCGTAGAAACAGCAGGAGCACCGAGCTTGTACCCAAACTGCATCCATGGTGCTATGACGCTCTGATAGACTGGGTTCAAGGGACTATCATCTCCTTCAGAATCCACTGAAAGAAAAGTATGGTGTAGTCATACATTTTCCAGTGAGCAAACACTCGCAAATTAAATCACGCTAACACAATCCTTTATTGATTTATTAATAAAGTCAAATTATTTAATTATTAAAGTAAGTTTATTTATAGAAAGTGTCCTATTTGGGACAGATATTGCCTAAATGACGATTTTCTGCCAAATGTCAGCTGATTTCTAAATATTATTTCCCAAATTGTCTGACATTATAATCATGTGATTCTTGATACCAAAATAAACTTCAGGACAAAATCTTACTATTGGTTCCAACCACAATAGTGTTAAGAATGTCTGTTGAGCTAGCATAGCTCAAACAGACCCTACAGGAATGTTAAATCCTGACTTGCAGATTGAACACAATTCATTAACTCTTTGCTAACTGAAATGAAATGAAATGTGTTTATTGTCCTTTGAATTTCTAATAATCATCGACAATGTCATTATATAGCTAAAGTTATAGCATAGTCAGTTAATAAATACAATATAGCTAACTAGACAGAATGAGACATGTTACAATACATATTTTAAATACTACGATTGAATAATCTTATTCTTAAGAAAATTTGGTGGCATTTAGAATAATGGAAGTGATTAAACCCCATAAACAACAAAATCAGCAGTACTTTGGTCAATTTGCCAACTCTAATTAAAAATTAATAGGTACCACGCATTTCAAAAAAATCATTTAAAAAATAGAAGGGGTTGTTCAAAAGCCATCTGTAGAAATTAGTTTTAAAAGTCTTTTCAGGATATTTTTGTATTAAATGTATTAGCTTATTGTATATTTTAAGTGAGATTACAATATAGATTTTAAGAGTTTTAGACAGTCTGAAAAAATCTATGGTAGCAAAGTTTTTCTTCCTTGTATTATGAACATTAGAAATTTGTTTGATTAAGTTGGGATTTTTTAGAATATATTATACAGAGTCAAATAAATAAATTTTAGTCACTGTTGGAATTTGTAGCTGAATGAACAGGGGTTTACAGTGTTCCTGTAGGGGTTCATAAGATATGATTCTAAACAACTTCTTTTGTAAGACAAAAATTTTCTCTATCCTACTGCAATTGCCGTAAAAGATAATAATGTATCTAAAAATGGATTGAAAATAAGCAAAGTAGGCTGTTTTAATATAATTTTGATCCATACAATGTATTAATTTATACATAAGACCAATTACCCTTGAAGCTTAGAACTTTTGTAATTGATATGGAGAAGGAGTCTTATCCAGATAAATAAATACCAAGAAATTTAACATTGTCTACATAGCCAGTTGTTTAAGATCGGGATTAAAAAATGTTGTGTCATCTGCATACAAATAAGTTTTACTAGTTATACATTCTGGGAGGTCGTTAATACAAATTAAGAATAACAGAGGACCTAGAACAGACCCCTGAGGCACGCCATATTTTATTTTTAATTCTTGGGCCCATTCTCCATCAATATTGACTTTTGTGATCTATTGTTTAAGTATAATATTTAAATATTAAATATTTTGTAGATATTATATATTTTGTAGATTTAGATATTTAAATATTAAATATTTAGTTAAATATTTTGTTGTTATCATTAGTTTTTTAGAGGTTAACTGTAAGAAAGGACCATGAGGTCCTAAGTTCGCCTCAATAAAGAAGGATTTTCATTCAAAGAAGGATTTTCATATGACTTGAAAATACCCCCGCCGCAGCAAACCTGCCGTCTAAGCGAATTTCCATTTGGCTGAATTGATTTTCAATCGATCTATTTAAATAACATTAGGTTTAACGAGTACCTAGGTTTGCTGCTACAAGGAAACTAATAAAGTGTGTGTTTTAAGTAAAATAATTATTGCTTAGTAGAAAATGAATATATTTGCCAAGTTTGATCAAAAGATATCCATAATCAAGCAAACTACAACATGTTACAATATTCTCCATAAGAATAACATGGGAATTTTAAATTTACAATTTTTTTAGTTTTCTCCGTAACCAATAACCGTACAAAAACACTTTGACATAATGAATTGTTTGTTTTTTTTAAGCTCTTTAAGAAGGATTAGAGAAAAATTGGGAAATTTTGTGTTTTGAGGGTCAAAAGTGAGAAAACCCAATTTTTACCCCATAAAACCCCCCATAAAACCCTGTTCCCATGGTCCGATCATGCTGGATCGCGAACTCATTCAAGTTTATCCCGCATTACACCTTCAAACCAAATTTCATCAAAATCGGATAAAAATTACTCAAGTTATCGTGTTTACGGACACATATATATATAAATCTATATATATATATATACATATATACAAATTTGAACGAATGGTGTTTTTGGCCTCTGGGGACATCAAAATGAAAAAGTAAATCGGTCCCGGGCCTAAGTCTTACCATGAGACCTACGGTAATAGCTACTTCCCTATAGGGAAATTCGCTAAAAGAAAGTGGAGTACCTAATTGAATGCTTATATTGATTTTTTTACCCATTATACACTTGTTTTGTTTCGTTTTAAACACTTCGGCTACTTTTTATTATTCTATCTAGGAAAATCAATCTTTCTTTCATTCTTCTCAACTCACTGTTACACAAACCATTATTTTTTTCTGTTTGAATTGGTATGCTGTAATAAATTGCATGACTGTACAGTTTATTACAGTTATGATTTATCTTGGATTAATTAACTACAAAGCCACCCTGACTTCCTTACTGTTTCAATTGTTAGCACTAGCAACATCTCAGTGGCCATAGCTCATGACCTTGTATGAGAGACTCTAATACAACACTTACATGAGAGAGGTTGAGTGCTGGATAAAGGAGCCGTCAATAACATCATCTCAGTGATTAGATCCCAAAGAGCATAACGGACAGCAGCCTTCAACTTGAGTGTCAGTGACTCTACATTGACTCTTCCCTGCTTCCATATCCTAAACTCCAGTCTGACTGACGAACCTAGAAATTAAAACAAAATACTCTTGAATAGAATAGTTGGAGGAAACAGGTATGGGTTTGATAGAGATGAGTAGACTCTCAAAGAAGCTACACAAAAAATATTAGATGTGTTTGGAAACGCACACTGCATATTATGCCAAGGCCATGAAATAGGAGACCATGGTAGTTTCTGCGCTGGGCGAGCCTCACGTAGAATGTCATGCGCGACTACCATTAAAACCTTCCCGGGTGAGCTTACGATACTTTTTGTTTTTGCCACACAATAAGGAGTCCAAAATTCTGTAGCAAATTGACTGGACTACAACTGACTTTACCAAGCCCTTTTTGTGTAAAAGACGACTTTCTAGTCTATAATGAGACTGGATACTAGCTGCATACAGTTTAGTATGACAAAGAGATTTTTTTGTCCTGCAATCGTATGGCATGATAAAAAAAAGGAAGAGGTATTTTTCTTCCCATGTAAAAAGTAAATGCAGTTTTATAACCTAGACTCGATGGATAGGTAGATGATAAAATGATGAAATCACAAAGCCTAAATTTCAGTTTTGGAAATTCCTCTGATGAAATGTCAAGTGTTAAGTTTTTAGGTATTACTTTACAGACTAATGTTAAGTGGGATGAACACATTAAATCTTTGTGCAATAAAGTAGCTAAGGCAATCTTTATGATTAGAAGACTTAAGTTAATTGTTAATATTGATGTTTTGGCTGCTGTGTATTTTGCACATATACAAAGCCACCTGTCATATGGTATAGTGTCATGGGGTTATGACAGTAATACAATAAAATTATTGCGGCTTCAGAAGAGAGCCTTAAGATTCATGTTTAGTGTTAATCGTAGGACCCATTGCAAACCACTTTTTAAGAAACTTAAAGTAATGACTGTTCCCTCTTTGTTTATATTGGATTGCTTAATGCACATTAGAACTAATTTAGAGCAGTTTCAAACTAATAGCTCTGTTCATAACTACTTTACTAGGCAAAACAATTATTTAAGAACTGATCAATGTAACTATCGAAGGACAATTAATTCAACTTTTGAGCTGGGTAAAAGAATGTATAATAAGTTACCAAACCATGTAAAGCAGCTAGATTTAATTAGATATAAGTTTTATTTGAAGCGACTCCTCCTAGAATTAAGTGTATATAGTGTTGAAGAATTTGTTAAATATTTAGATGTTTATTTGTGTCATAGCTAGTTGTATTGTTTCTTTTTTTTAGAAATGTAATAACGATGCACCAGTTTGATGTTACCTGCTGTAACCCATAAATGTTATGTGCAAATAAATACTTTGACTTTGACTTTGACTTTGATAGGCCAGTACGTACTACTTTTCAAGCTGTCAAAGAACCATTACCTACTCATCTCCAAATTTGTCATTTTTAAAAGATAACAAAGTAAGAAATTACAGCAATGTGTAAGACTGTAAGAATAATTACATTGAATGAATACAATTGAAAGATGTTAACCAGCAGACTGATTTTACAACTTTATGTGTTTGTTATTAAGCGATATTTGTTGGTTTCTCAAAAGCATAATTTTATCAGTTTACCTGAATCGCCATCTGATGAGTTAGTGGCTGTCAGGGAGTTGAACTGAGAAGCTGTGAAGGGTTGGTCCTGGAAGGCAGTAATATTTGGAGGTTGGTAGCTCATTGAGTCTACAATGTTGTCAAGACTATCTACCAGAGCCCCTGCGACACACGCAATGCCCTTGTTGCCAGATGAAGGACTCTGGTTGTACAGGAATATGCGGTCTTCAGACACCTGCTTTGATGGATCTTTCGGATGGGAGTAATCCTGAATATAAAAAAAATCATGATTAGAAAATTGTAATTGGTTACGATTTATAAAATAGTATTTTTTTATTTGAAACATTTAACGTGACTGAAAAATTATTATTTTTTATCTAAACAGAAAAACTAAGTTAACACCTACATGATGGATTGGTATGTTACATCATATTTTAGAATCTCTCTCTTGTTATTGTATAACATTAAATCGTATGAAGTCATTAACATAACGAGAGCAATTTAATTTTTGATAAATTAACCAAAATAGAATCGAAATACTCTATTGTACTTTTAAAAATTGTAATGATTATTCAATCAAAACACAGAGTATATTTATTTGCCAGGTTTACTAAATCAGTCCATAGTTTATTGGTTTGTTCAATTTACTAAATTATGTTGAGTAATGTAAGCACAGAAATTTGAATAAGTGGAAAATGAAAACATAATTGGCTTTGGAACTTAAACCAACTGAGTCTCCTATTTTCTATAAACAAATATTATTCTGTTCTGAGTAAAGAACAACCTGCACACACCTGTAAATGGAACTGAGCTCTTGTATCAGTGTACTTGGGAGTGTGCATGAATTGCATCAAGTTTTGGCGCAAGTAGTGGAGAACTGCTTGCAAGTTGTCTAGAGCTTCTGGCGGAAGTGAGAACTGAAACAAAATGTACCCGTTTAAGTCATAGATGAGTACAGTTTTTGGATGAATCAGAAATGTTAATCTTAAACTAGGGATGGACGGGTCCCGAAATTTCGGGAATTTTTCGGGAAAAAAATATTCCCGATTATCGGGACGGGATTACATTTGACTCGGGAATTTTTCGGGACGGGATTTGGTCCGATCGTCGGCGATTTTTCCGCTTCGCGAGTGCCGATAACGCCGTTATTGCGAGCGATAGGTCCGCGAACGCAGGAGACGAAGTCATACCGACGATCGCGCCGTGACCGCGGAGTCCTACCTACGATCGCGCCGTGACCGCGAGTCATGACGACGATCGCGCCGTGACCGCGGAGTCATGCTGACGATCGAGCCGTGATCGCGAGTCATACCGACGATCGCGCCGTGACCGCGAGTCATGACGACGATCGCGCCGTGACCGCGGAGTCATGCTGACGATCGAGCCGTGATCGCGAGTCATACCGACGATCGCGCCGTGACCGCGAGTCATACCGACGATCGCGCCGTGACCGCGAGTCATACCGACGTTAACCCCGTGACCGCGGAGTCATACCGACGATCGCGCCGTGACCGCGAGTCATACCGACGATCGCGCCGTGACCGCGAGTCATGACGACGATCGCGCCGTGACAGCGGAGTCATGCTGACGATAACCCCGTGACCGCGGAGTCATGCTGACGATCGAGCCGTGATTGCGAGTCATACCGACGATCGCGCCGTGACCGCGAGTCATACCGACGATAACCCCGTGACCGCGGAGTCATACCGACGATCGCGCCGTGACCGCGAGTCATACCGACGATCGCGCCGTGACCGCGAGTCATACCGACGATCGCGCCGTGACCGCGAGTTATGACGACGATCGCGCCGTGACCGCGGAGTCATGCTGACCATCGAGCCGTGATCGCGAGCCATACCGACGATAACCCCGTGACCGCGGAGTCATACCGACGATAACCCCGTGACCGCGGAGTCATACCGACGATCGCGCCACCACCGCAAGTCATACCGACGTTAACCCCGTGACCGCGGAGTCATACCGACGATCGCGCCGTGACCGCGGAGTCATACCGACGATCGCGCCGTGACCGCGAGTCATACCGACGATCGCGCCGTGACCGCGAGTCATGACGACGATCGCGCCATGACAGCGGAGTCATGCTGACGATAACCCCGTGACCGCGGAGTCATGCTGACGATCGAGCCGTGATTGCGAGTCATACCGACGATCGCGCCGTGACCGCGAGTCATACCGACGATAACCCCGTGACCGCGGAGTCATACCGACGATCGCGCCGTGACCGCGAGTCATACCGACAATCGCGCCGTGACCGTGAGTCATGACGACGATCGCGCCGTGACCGTGAGTCATGACGACGATCGCGCCGTGACCGTGAGTCATGACGCCGATCGCGCCGTGACCTTGAGTCATACAGACGATCACCCCGTGACCCGCGAGTCACAAGTTACTATAGATACCTGTAAATTGTTACCAATTTTTTGGCTTTTATAGATCAGTGCCACAAATGGTAAAAATTGATTTCGTATGTCTTTTTTGGTAACTGCAATACAGTACTTTCTTTTTATGCACAGAAAAAATCCCGTCCCGTCCCGTCCCGAAAATTGGGAAGGAAATAAAAATCCCGTCCCGTCCCGTCCCGAACTAAAAATTCAATCCCGTCCATCCCTATCTTAAACATTAGCCTTGGTCCTAGACAGTGATATAGTTTCTACTATGTCAAAACATAGAGTTGAAAACCATAAATTCTAATCATAAAAATTTATATATTTCTATCAGTTTACATGTGGTGCTGGACTTCATTCAAGCCCATGTTTCCTTGGTGTTTGGTTGGACATTCAAATATTTGACAGAAATCTATTATTTTTTTGCATTAAAGTAATAAGATTTTAAAACATATAAAGATGGAGTATTTGTGCATTCAAATTAAGATTTGAAAACACATAAAGAGTTAAATAAGTTAGGAAATTGGGTAAAATGTCTAGAGACCTTGTAAAGCAAATTTCAGGGATACTTTGTCTTAAAATCCCTAAACTAAGAATAAATTGTACGATAATGATGCTATTGCAACAAATTTTAGTTTTTTACCAAATTCACCGTTAAATATCCTGACATATTTATATAATATGACAAAAATACAAAAATTATCTCATGGTTCACACTACTTGTTATTTGATTGGTTAAAATAGTGAAATTTACAATAAGTTGTGAATATTGGGGGTAGATTATTTATTTCCACGTTTTATTGAACAGAAACGTCATGATAGTCTTCCGTGATTTCAGAAAAATGCTGGACAGCAATGCTTGCAGTCATGTAGATATCACCATCGGCTACCACGATTACGGAAATGTTATCGATGACATCTGTGTTACCGGCAAAATCGACCGTGCAAACTTCCTAAACTAAGGACATAGTATAGTGATATTTAAGGCCAATTCTGGTATATTTCATGGCCAGCTTACAATTAAGTACAATTCCTGGTTTCCCCGGATTTCCCGGTTGGTAGACACCCTCTGAGGTCTCTTTTGGGAGATCGGATGTGCAAGACCTATAGACACTCAGTTTAGAGAATATCTTAAATAGAGCAATCATAAAAATGTTCCATCAGTAAAAGAGTAGATAGTTGTTAGTAGTAGTTTATTAGTTTACTAGTTATTTGGTATTTGATTAGTTATTAGTAGTAGTCGTAGTAATTTGATAAGTCAATATACAAGTCACCTGCACAGTATTTTCTGGCATCCGGTACGGTTTTTGAATGAAATGTACATCTTCTGGTGAAAGTTTGCACATGGGGTTGCGAGCTAACATGACAGAAAGGACCTCCAAGACAGCGTCGTCCAACCTGTTGTGAAGGACTTGGACTAGCTCACTCTTGACCTCAGCTCCTACAATAATCAACCAGAGTATTAGCAGTAATCAGCAGTCAGGGATCAGTTGCTTGACTAAACTATCCCTATATAACAAAATAGGTGTCTTACCTCTGTCTGTAGTCCAAATTGTTCGTGAACGGGTGCTGACTAGTTTCATAGCAATCACAATATTGTCAAAGCGTTCAACACGTCATATATCAGAAAAATAAGAGCATAAAACACAACGCAAAACACGTAACGGACAAAGGTTACAATAGCACTATCTTTGTTCGTTACATGTTGTGTCCGTGTTTTAGATTTTTATCTACCCTGATCTTTTGACTTGTTAAACGACAATATTGCGTTCCAGTTAGTCAGCACCTGTTGATAAAAAGTTTAGACTACAGAGTACAGACGGAGGTAAAATTTCCTATCATATCATAAAGGAGTTCAAGGACTACAATATTGAATGTTATCCCTGTACATATAGCGATTCAGTTTGATTTTGAGCACCGGAATGTAGAGAAATTAACTGCCTGATCCTACGATAAATGGGATCGGAAAAAAGTATATATTCACATAGGTTTTTGATGGGGTTTCCGGCTATATTATGTGAGCTGTACTAACCAAAACAAACTGCCTATGAACAGGCTGTACTGTTCAGAAGCATATCACAGCATAGTTGTTAATTTAACAACTATCATTTTAGTAATTCTCAAAAAACATTACCTGCTTCCGAAATTCCATGAACTTTCAATGTCAAGAATTCTTCTTGGCGAAGACTGTCACCAACTTCTCCAAATGATTTGAGTCTAGGCCTGAGTTCCTTCGTCTAAAAAAAATCAAGTTGACTTGATTATAATTACAGTAGAACCTTGATTATCCGGGGTAATGGGGGGGGGGGGGGAGACCACGGATAACTGAAACCACGATTAATCCAACATGAGATAGAAAAACCCATAAAAAAGCCTAGAACTGCATAAATGGTTGTTAATGTGATAATTTGCATATTACATAATCAAAATACAATCATTGACTCATCATGATATTTAATTCATTAACCTAGGCTGAGTAATAAAAACTGTAATGTTTAAAATCACAGCTCTCTCAAACTGTTACTCAAACAAAAACAAATTAAAACACTGTACAACAATAAATCACGTTAAGAAAATATTGATGGAAATTCTAGTATCTACTGCTAGTCATAGGCTATAATGCTACAATGGTGTTTCAGGAAAGAAGAATGCCGATAACTCATAAAAAAGTATAAAACCATAGAACTTAACGATGATAACATCAGCCTGCTTGTTGGGTTGGATGTTGAAGTGGAGTGGGTTAGATGAAAGGTATTTTAACCCAACAAGCAGGCTTACATACTTATTCATATATATAGTGTATATAAGATAAACTGAAACTGTGTTTTTTGAATTCATACTATTGGCAACACTGACTCAACAACTCACTGGCCACCATTTTGGACATGTACTCTCTCTTCAGTCTCTTCCTTAGTTGAAAATGTTGTCAGTGACAGTGAAATATCCTAAAGTTTTGTGTATAATATAGTGTAAAGTTGTGTGTTTCCTGTGCCAGTTTGGACTCTTTCCCATTCAGGTAAGCCTGCTATCCTCAAAAAAACCTAAAAACCTATGCCTCTGTGCTCTATGCTACACCCTTATTGAGAATTAATTATCAAAATATTCAAAATATAAGACCTGGGTTGAATCGTTGAATGGAACCACAGACAAGAATGAGACACAGTTTTCACCAATAATAAAAAACTAACCCATGCTGAAACAATGGATGAGGTAGCATCTTCGTTCTTCTTTGCTCCAGTGTTGTTGAGGCTGTTGATAGAAGAACTACGAGACACTGACAAAGGTGAGTTCTCTTCTCCATCCACTGTTCTGGCCACTGACTTCACATTTTCATAGAGCCTGGAACATTATGGTTTAAAATAGTAAGCATGGAGTGTAAAATGAAATGTATTGGACCATTTAATATAAATAGTTTACAAAAATTGTTGATAGGCCAAAAATGTGAATACCTCAAATAATTTGATATTTATTTACTTAGGTACCTCTTCAAAGAGGGTCTTTCAGAAGGAAGTGACAACTGTAGATCAATTTCTTCTTCCTCCATATATTCTTGAGCAAAGTTTTATTTTTTCCAAAAACGCCTAAAGATCCTAAGCCCTAAAGATCTTGGGGCCTTTTTAAAATCTATTAATCCCTCATGCAACTAAAGAACGAATTTAAGACCAGCTTCACATTAGCGACACATCTGGCAACTGGCTCTGACTAGAATTTGCCGCGGCCCACCAAAATACCAGTTCTCACGAACGGCAAATACACCAACTAGATTGTAGGTGTAACGTATACGAATGAGCATCAATGACTATAGCCGATGTCTTTAATACATCTTTTTAAATCGATGGTAAGTGACAAATATTTTTGGTGCATTGCATGTTTTTTTGTAACTTAATTTGCATTTGAATAATGAAATTCAGGTAATAAACAATCAATTAAACTATTATAAAAGTTTGGTTGCAAAACACCTTATTGCTAACAAGAGGCTATAAGGCAATTTTCAATTATTTTTACAAACCTCCCAGTCGTTTATCAACTGAAAATTTGTTTTTTGGAATTGTTGAGACGTGTAATACAATCCACCAAAAAGTTCTATGCAATTTAGAACATTTCTAATTTACTTTTAATCAATAACGTTACCTATTTAAAAATTAATAACGTCTAATGAAAACCAAAAAAATATTAAGATGAAACCATAAGATCTTTATTTTTTATTTTAACCATGAGGATTACTTTTATTAGTTGCATATTTGTACCAGTTTATACGAGCCACAGTTTTACCGAAATCTAGTAACTTCTTTCAGCTGGCACCTGTTCTGCGAATTAATATTTTTTTCCAGGAACCGGTCAATTTAAACTTAGCGTAAAAATGTGATTATCGCTAGCCTGTTTTCAACCATAGATGTATCTAGACGGAGACGTGGAATTGTAGCATACTTAGTGTACAGACATCTATATGAAAAAATTAGTCTGAGTACATAACACTACAAATTTGCTCCCATACATTTGCCTTCTTAATTTTGTCATGGTATTCTGAAAGACATGAGTACCAAAGACAAGGTCACTACTTCACCGATTAGATGAAAATATCAATATCAAAGCCAATCGGATCCATCACTGGCGTTCAAGGAAAAGAAAGGCAAGTATGCAACTGACTGCACGTGTGAACACTCTCACACTCTGCACATGTACTGCTACGCCGCCGAGATAGTGACTAGCTAGCCGCAGTAAGTCACAACAATCAGCTAGGAAGCAGACTCTGGCGGTTGTTTCGACAACAAGCTCTATCACCGTGGGCCGTACGCTCAAGTGAACAGGTCCATTTGATCCAGTAGTCCGTTACTGATTAGTATTTCAAACTTTATTTTTGGCAATTCTACTGCACACTTACTCCATAATCCTGCCCAATGCCTGCCTTTCATGAGCACTAAAAACAAACTGATGATATTCTACTACGGCTAAAAGAGGATTGAGTTCAGCACACTTGATTTCAGTATGTAGGGTGAGTCATAATCTCCTTTTGATCTATCTTTTTTTACTATTTTTATTTTTGCCAATTTTTCTACTTTTTATCCCGCATTATAAAACAGATACGTTACACCTGCAACAACCTAGTCACAGCCTAGCAGCTAGATATGTAGCTTGTGTGAACCGGGCATAAATATATAAATATATCACACCTATGTCCATAATATGGATGAATTGGGGTAGGGTTTTCGTTATCTCAGAAACAAAAAATTGTTGAACTTTAGTCCAGCTCATAACTTATTTCCCAGTAAAGAAAATACAAATAGGGCATGATCTTACGATTAAATTCTTAGTATATCATATATAAAGCAAATGCCAGTAGAGTACCCAGTACCATCCTACCTCAGATAGAAGACATTTCCGAGGTGATCTTGATACACAAACATGTTCTTGCGGTTGTTGACGGAGAAGCGGTTGAGGACAGTTCGGAGAGCCTGAATGCCCCGAGACAACCCAGGCTTGGTGGGACCCGTCTTGAGACGAGGATGAAGAGTGAAGTGAGTCTCCCAGACCACTGGACAGGAGAATGATCCTGGCAGGAACTTCAAACTGGCCTCTAGGTAGTCCACTGGAGTATCTGCTTCACTCGTTGTAGCCTCTGAAAATAGCAATATTGGTAAACAGATAACAAACGTAGTGGAGAGGCATATTGGACGACAATACCGTACTGTACTTGCCAAGCTAGGTGTTTCAACCCATCGTTTTCAGTTGGAAGCCGCTCCTTAGAGTAAGCAAGTTCACTCTTCATATGCCTTTACAAAGGACATTTTAAGGCTGGATAGGCGAAGAATTAAAAAACTAACAGTAAAACTAATTATCAGTTATGGGTGTTCAGAAAACTTTTTCAATGTGAATGTATGGGCTTGTATGACGTCGAAGCAGTCTGTAGGAATTGTGGTAGATCAGATTAAACAGCTGATCACCTGCTCTTTGACTATGAACAGCTCTCTGAGGTCAGAGAACAACTCTTGGAAATTTGGTACCTTCCTGAGAAAGAATTGATTGGCAGACTACAGGCATTCAGCAGATGCTTGAATCTTTAGGGTCTATCAACAAAACCACTTATTGGGGCGCACAATAATTTGACTAATTCGGATGAAGTGCTTTATGACTTTAGACTGCCCCGGCAAGATAAGATAAGATAAAAACCCAAGCTACCTCCTGCCTCGAGAATACCAGAATGGTTATATATTTGGCTTGTATGCTCTGTTGTTCTTCCCAATTGAAACCAAACAGTTGAAATACAGACAAATGGTTTATTATTATTATTATGTAGTATTGCGTAAGAAGTTTGACCATAACGTTGCACACTTAATAAATAATCAAACAATGGCTTCAATACAAACACACTGGGGCTTTTCTCTACTTTAGCGCCTTCAGAGGTATAATTAACTGCATTTAAGCATCTTAAAATACCAAAATTTCGGGGGCCTCTGGACCACCATATCCTTGGGGATATTCCACCCCCCCCCCACGGTTTGCCCCCCCCCCCAAAACGAAATCCTGGCTACGCTACTGATCACAAGTGTTGACTTGATCACAATAGATAAACAAAAGATTATTTTTGCAATTAGGGAAGACGATCACAATGTTGCCGTGGTAACAGAAAATTATCTCAATGTGTCAGTGTTCGCAGGACATTAGCACAATGTAGCAGTCGTCAGATTGTTGGTTAGCATTGAAAATCTTTTATTATTCATTCATATAAATTACAATAAGCAGGTCAAACATGTCAAGAAATGCACATACCTTCGTCAGGCTTGTGTATCTGAGCCGAGGAATGACTTGACCTCCAAATGTCCTCCATAGACTCTGGTTCCAACAGCTGATTGCACATCCTTGTGTCATGCAGATTGTTCAACAGCATCTTCTGATTCACAGTTTTGCATACCATCTTGATACTGTTGACAATGTTCTTCTGCACCAGACTGTACAACTTTACTTCTGGTGTTTCCAGTTCCAAAAACCTAAAATGGAAATTAATTTAGTTTTGAGTGGTTATAAAACAATTTAATTGACAAATATACCCCAAAGAGCCAAAATGTTTCGGCATTGTAAAAAAAAAATGAAATTGATTCTTTTACCAATGTTTTTGTAGGTGTCACCCTTTCAATATATTGACTAAAAAAAAAAAAAAAAAAAAAAAAAAACAGTTACAGAAAAAAATAACTTTTTATGCAGTATGTTACCTTTCAGGATTTCAAATTTCTGGTTTTATCCCAATAAGTGCTCAACATTTTCAAATAATTTACAAAAGAAGCTGCCCTAATTGTTTTCATGCTTTGCAAATACAGATATATGATTTTAAAAAATAAATATTTAATGCCCCAAAAATCTATAAATCATCATCCTTCATTTTAAGACATTTATAGAGCCTAACTACAATTTTGTAACTCTGTAACCAACAATAGGAGTGTAACAGCAAAAGTTTACAAACAATAAAAACTAGATTGAGTAAATTTAACTAAATAAATTCTTAATTTTAAAAAATGAGTTCTTAATTCATCAAAAATATTCACTAAGTGGTTACCTGCAATGGAAGTAGCAAATTACTTCCTCCTTGTTCACTCTCATGATGAGCCAAAAATTCGGTAGTTCGGCTCTCCGAGACTCGAGCTCTCTCAGCCAATCACTGCATTCATTCATTTCTCCCTCTCCTGCACTACTTCCTACACAGAGACACATCATTCTTAATTTAATATCTATGAAAAATTAATACTTTTAAAGATAATTGCAAAACTACAATATTGTGGAGTATGATGAAGAGGTTACGCTCCTTTCACACTACCTAATCTTGCCCGGCTGGGTAAAAAGTAGCCGAGCAAATGATTGTGGTTCTGTTTCTTTCACACTACGCCGGGTTTTAATTGGGAGGGTAAAAATTGGATTCCTACTTTAGCAGTAAAGAGTTCTTTATCAGTCCAGTGGAAAGTGTAGCATGGTTTCCTATAGATGAATCAAGAATCAAGAATCAATAGCTTTATTGTCGTTGATCTTTCACAAGGAATAGACATAGTCAACAGAAATAGAAACTAAAACTATAAAAAATGGGTTGTAAATTAAAAATCATTATTAAGATTAACATTAGAAACTAAATACTCTGTTATACAATAGTATGGATTTTTGATGAGCTACTCAAACATTTTAGACTTAAACCTATTAAAAGGAACCAGTTATGCTGTCAGACCTAATTTATTAAAAAACCATATGCAATTTATTTTATGGCAGTTATCTGTTTTGGCCAATCTATGGGCAGGGATATCGAGATTGGATTTGCCTCTTGTATCATAAGAGTGAATACTCTCTCTAGAAGTGAATTGATGAGGATAAGTTTTAGTGTAGAGGAGTACGTGAAAAATATACAAAGTTACTATGGTCATAATTTTAAGATTTATAAAAAGAAGTCGACAGCTATCTACAGGGCCAGCCCGACAGATTGTTCGTATAGCTTTTTTTTGCAATAAAATAATTTCATGGGTGTGGGGGGATTGTCCCCATAGTATAATCCCGTGACGATTTTGTATATATAATTAATTACACAAAAACTAGAAGAATGTCATTTTATAATAATTCTCAGCTTAAATACTGTAAAAATATGTCTATAAGGAATTAATAACTTCTTGATCAGCATCGTACATGTTATTAAATTACCTGAAAAAACAAAAATATATACGTCTAGTAACACTTGTAATAATATATTTACACTTATACTGTTGACTTACAAAACGGTAAATACATATAAAAGTTGGTAAGTGGTGATTGATTTCGATTGGACACTCCAATCATCATTAGACCCAATAGGCGAATGACAAGAATCAAAATGGCGTTCCTTTATATACTATTGGTTACCGGAAGTACCAGCCAATAAGTTTCTATAAGTACAACTGGAGTCAAAATTTACTTGTTCATTAATGAGCTTATTTCTATTTTCACATTTTTCCTTATAAATATACAATTCTTCCCAAGCATTCATCACATTCACAATGTGATGAATAATTGGGAACGCGTGCGGCTTAAGTTTCGCACGCTCGAAATAGTTATTGAATGTTGTTGTTTACGTTGTCAATAACTTAACCTCAGTAGGTTTGTTTTGCATTATGTTTTGAATATTTAATGTACGTTTTGAATATTTAGTGCATGTTTTTAGTTATTAGTGAGACCCACTGAGTAAATTTTGTGTTGGCTATTGATCAAATGCACATTTTCATATATTTTGGCAAAGTAAATTTATTTATTTATATATACTCTTCAAAATTGGAAAATTTACTCTCATTAGAGTAGGCTACTAAACAAGAAAATATAGTGTAGAAAGAAAAAAATCTTGATTTGCGTGGTAGTTATATAGCCCAGAAAATAGCAAAATAAAACTTCAAAAAATTTATTTTTTAGATAAAATTTTTTTAAAGTTTTTTTTGTATATGCAATGATTGCATATTTAAATACAGTTTATTACATGTAAAATAAAAGAGACCGGATCCTTTTATGTCAAGTCATTCAAATTTTATAGCACTTTTAGCCAAAAAACATGCAAAAACACTGATTTTGCTCTGGCCATTTGGTGCATCACATGCATGTTTAGTGCTGGCCGATAGAGGAAGTCATTGCATCTTTTGACGGCGCTCAAAGGGTTAAGGATGCCATAGAAAACATCCAATGCTGTGAAAAATTAAGAATCAATTAGACAATATATTTAGGTTTGCCTAGATTAATGTTATATTATTTGTCTGTGGTAAATATCCAAAAACTCAACCCGACTATTTATTTTCCTATTCCTACAATTCTTCCACACTTAAATAAATCAGAGTAAAATAGTACAAGTAAAAATAAGATCGTAAATAAGATACAACCCTACACAAAGTGTAGAGCTGCATCCTAACTAACAAATGGCAAACATTACCATTATTATATATTATATACAGGGTGTTCAAAAAATGTGGGGACATAATTTACGTAGTGATTCCTTGGGTCAAAATAAAGAGAAAATCAAGAATATTTTTCAAAAATAGCTTCGTTAACCATATATTTTGTATTCTTTACATAAACATTTCTATCTTTGATTTTTTGCCACCGATCTTTATGAAACTTTGTTTATATGTTAAGGTAGAAGAGACCTAAATCATGTTATAAAAAAATTAATCTTGATTCAACTTGAAACTTCAAAATGGCAGCCATTTCAATTTTTGTATCTTAAATTACTAAATAATGGCTGATTTTTAGTTGTAAAATGAGGCAAACCTGACTAGCAGTGGCCTGACAACGTTTGCCAGAAGATGAAGTTTGCAAGCCAGGAACAACTATGGCAGGCTTTGCTGTACAGCCGCCATCAGAATAGTGAAGATGCGGCTTTAGGCTCAAGTACACAGGATACATTTACTGACCAAAAGCTGGTGAGTCAGTGAGTGAACTAGTAAAGGATTATTCATTAGAGATTCATAACCGCTCCTTTCAGATTCATTCAAATTAAGAGTAAAAGACTAAGTAAAGTATGATTCTAAAAAAGAGTGGTTTAAAATAAATCACCTTCAAATATGAGGCCTTCTGCTTCCATGAGGTTTGCTACTTCAGCATGCCATGCTGCTACACTGCTCCATCCTGAAGTTTTTGACTCAGCTTCCATCCTAGCCAAGGAAAACCAAAACACATTAATGATTGGTAGAAGCTATTAACCAGCTTGAGGGATTGAAAGTTTAAGTAGCTATAATGACTAAATACCCCCGCCACAGCAAACCTGCAGACTAAGCAAATTTCCATTTGCCTGATTGGATTTACACTAAAATGTCTCCTTAAAAATATCACATTTATTTCCAATTTAAATAGCATTAGTTTAACAAGTACTTAGGTTTGCTGCAAAAGGGAGGGTAAAAAGGTGTTTTTTTTTGTAAAATTGTTATAGTTTAGTATGAAATGAATGCATTTTCCAAATGTCATCAAAATATGCTCATAAACAAGCAAACTACAACAGCTTACAATTTTCTCCATAAGAATAACATGGGAATTTTAAATTTACAATTTTTTGGAATTTTCTCCTTATCCATTCGGCGCCTAATAACGCTAATATTATATTTGAGTCTACTACCTGCACCGGGACCGTCCGCGTCGTGTGATAGGCCTATCTAAATGTTATGTTTCGTTTCGTGTTATTTATTTATTATGTGCGTGTGACAGCAATGTCTTTCTGTGTTTGTACCCTGACGATGCCGTATTAACGGCGAAACATGTAGGTTTTTAGCCTAACATCACATCATTTGGATTACTTGACGAGGTAATTATACCACAATATTATAGTCTAATATTATATATAGTATATTAGTATATATATATAATATAATATATAGTATATTAGTATATATATATAATATAATATATAGTATATTAGTATATAATATACTAAATTATTTGTTTTTTTAAGCTCTACAAAAAGGTTTGGAAAGAAATTGCTAAATTTTATGTTGTTAGGGTCAACAATGGGAAAAATCAATTTTTACCCCATAAAACCTCCCATTAATTTTTAAAAGGAATTAACTAGATTACTACAACACATAAAATAACATTAGTAAGGGCGAGTAAAGCGTTAAAAATATAAAAGTAAATACTCCTTGAGTTTTAAGAGTAATAAATATTTATTGATAATTTTACTATTGTACTTGAGTACAAAATAATTATTGAAATTACCTTGGTTCATTTGTGTTTTTTATGGTCACTTCTTCATTGGCTGAAACAAATCAAGCAAAATAAATGTAATTTGTTAAGTTCGCACACAGCAACAGGCACTAAAGGTAAGGACTTAGTTAGATTTATAGCTAAAGAATAGATAATATAATCGTTAGATTTTTGGTCAGGCGGAAGTATCTCAAATACGGCTTATTTATTTTATGTGATCAGTGAGGGTTGCGTGCGGCTGTGAGGGGTCAGCGCCATTGTTGACAAACAACACAGGGGGTGGGGAAAGAGAAAGTCAAAGTCCAGTTTCTTTGGTATGCAGTGGGCCCATGGAAGGGCAGTGACGGCCAATAGCAACACCCCAAGCACCGAGGGGTGGTAAGGGGAAATGATTGTTTGGTGATTATAATCTCAAGTGTCAAAACATTGTCTTCAGTTGATGTTTATTACCTGACAATGAAAAGTTTTAAGTCATTTGTTTCTGTTGTAGTAATGTAAAATGTGACAATGTTTGATTTGTTCAAGAAGTAAAAAAATAGAATTTATAAGCCTACAAATATTTTCAGTTTTACTGCGATTAAGTTGTAAAGTCAATTCGTTTTCGGAAAACATCCACTCATCCTTAATTTACTTAACAAACTTTTCCATGTGGACGAGCAATTTATAGAATTTCTACAATAAGCTTAAATATAAAACTCATAATACAAAACATGTGTTATCTATTGACCGTTATTGCGTTAGTCACTGGGATCGTGGAACGTCGCAACTTTACGGGATGGTGTAAAGCTAGGCGCCCATCGGGCAACCCAGCGGGTGACGCGGTGCGACGCGGTGGAAAAAAGTTACCACGTATCCGTGCCATGTTATCTTGTGGACTGCGGAAAAAAAACTTCTCCTTGAATCCGGCAGTGAGAATTCAGTGGAGAAAAAAAAAATCTTCCTCCCGTGTTGCCGCACCTCCGTTCAGTTGCCTGGTGGTGGCGGGGTAGAGGCGCGGAAACGGCGTCTGCCCCTTGTCTGCTGCTTATTCGGGTGTTTTCGGATATCGTGAGCCCTTCAGGCATGTTCGGGTCCAAATCGAAGTGCACTTTGCATCCTGGAGTCGCTTGGTGGGCGCGGCCCTGGAGAAGCGGACGGAATCTTTTCTCCACATTGCGCCGTGCCGCGTCACCCCCTGGGTTGCCTAGCTTAATAGCGCATCAATTCGTGTGGCGCATCGTCGAAAACTACAAAACGTCCTTGGCCTTTCCTTTAGACTTTTAGTTTAATATCATGTATAATTTTTTGCGGTAAAACACTTAATGTTTTTTGAACAGTCGTAATTATCCCTTTGGTTAGTAATACATCATACAATCCAAATGTATTATATAAGCAATGCTCAATAGCATTCATAGAAATGTCCTTTTCCTTTGTACTGTATTTTGTAATTTGCTACTGTACTGTAGATGATTTGTTACAAGCTTATGTTACAATCCATTTGTTTACATTTTCGTAACACTGTCATAGCTACTTGACAGTCCATAGGACTAATATTAAGAATATTAAAATTTAATTTTAAGTTTTTAAAGAAAAATGAATTTTCCCTGAACAGAGCCTGGCATGGATATTGTTTTTAGCCTAAAACTATGATATTTCTAACAATTTGGAGGAAATCGTACGAGCCGTTTTTTTAAATCATTGTGCGCAAACTTTACGCATAATATAGTATAGATTAGTTACCAAGATGTGTCATTATTTCATTACATACAAAATCCTTTAAAACAATTGCCCAACAAACAGCTAACTTCTACAAAAACTAACTTTATTTTCTATCAGTTAGTTTTTCAACTAACTAATAACTTCTATCAGTTACTTTTTACGGGACTAACTACCTGAATGGCCAAACCAGTTATGGCATTGAGAATGTTTTGCTTTTTTGCTAGTAATTTGTGTAGGCCAATGTTAATTTAATTCAAAACTGTACTAACTTGTAATCCAGAGTTCTGATGAATGTTCACTGTCCTGTGAACCCCTATGGCTTGGATCCTTCACAACATAGAAAAACTCATTCTCACTCTTCAAACAATATCCTGGAACTCGCATCATTGAGAAATCCTGAAATAGGAATTGAAATAGTAGTTTACGCAACGATTGCGTAAAGGCTAACTAGACGAGTTGCATACACTACTTTACCTACGACTGTTTCTTAATTACCGTAATAGAAATCACTACTCATAACTTCCAAGAGAGGTTATGTTTCATGTATATAACCTCTCATTGCCACTGATTGTGATGCAATGACTTATTGTCCCTACCACTCACTTATTGTTTAATCAATTAAATTGGTCTTAACAGCTGATAAGTTGACGTTTGACGTATTAAAATTTTACTTATTTTCTCTCAATTCTTGAACCTCATTGGTCCAAACGTTTACTGTAAAGTAAGTAAGTAAACAATACGGTAAAATGAATCTTTTAAATTCTAACAACTGAATAAAAAAAGGCTAGTTTTAAAAAACGGTCGTAGGTAAAGGTAATTTTAAAACCAATTTTAACTTAAACACAAATACGTTTATTAATAGTGGTTTATTTACCTTGTATTTTCGTCACAGCTCAAAAATGTTGTATAGAAGCTACCATGAGTAAACAATGAGTAAACAAATATGTTATTTGTTTTGCAAACGATCAAATAATTGTTTAGGCCTAATCAATCATAAAAATTACAGGTGATCACTGGAGGTTAGTTGCAGTATGCGGTCATGTATTACTAAAGCTGCCATATCTCAGTTAATATTTGTCCAATCTTAAAAAAATAAGGTGTCAATCGATTTGTAATTAAATTGCCTTGAAAAACGTTATCCCGGTAAAATGTTATGATATTTAGATATGTTTCTTACCCAGGAACAAAGCTCTAAAATATTGGTAGATAGTTTCTGGACCCCCTGTATAATTTTTTTGACAAATAAAAAAGATAATTTCTTTATGACCCTTAAAAATAATCAGTAAGAAATATTATGAATTACGTAACGTATATACAATATTATGACAGCCCAAATTTATGACATAAACACTTGGCCCCTATTATGGCCTAAGTAAAGACAATATTTAGTATTTGATATACAGTATAAATAAGTATGACGGAAGAGACATTTTGTTTCGTTATGTTTACCATTCTGTAAGAGGCACATATTAATTTGAAGTCACAAGAGGTGAACAATATAATATTCAAAGGAGCAAAGTCCAACATTCCAATACACCTCCATGGATGAGAAGACGAACAGGCAGTCAACTACAAGAACCAGGTAGTGATGGCCACTTTGGCGTTCCCCCCTCCCCTACATACCCCCACTCCACCCCACCCCACCCCTCTCCACCCTCTGTGGCCGCTTTACTCTTTCCAGTTATTTTTGGTAGTCTGTCTTGCTTTATAACAGCCCCAATATTATAAAGTTAAAATTCATAAATAGAACTCAACAAACCATCAAGAAAACAGCGAGGCTTTGTTCAGCTCCAAAGACGAACTGTAGAGGAACGGTCTGATACACACAGGACGCTCGACTGGGAGATGAGATTATGTGATCAGCTACAAGTTGTAATGTGGCTTCTGTGACAGGGTTTTGGTCCAGCAGAAAAGCTGCAATCTCGTCTCTCATCAGCCATTTGATCTGTCAAAATGTGATAGTTCTTTATTTGTATTGGCTTACGGCTAAGAACAGGCCATATCCGGATAAACTATACACTTTGAACACTTGTTCTTCACTATCCAGACAATTAGTTCATGAGATGGTGGTGGTTTTACCCTACCTTAGTCTACATTTTGAATTGATTTATACATTTAATTAAATCTAGAATTAAAATAATAAAGACCTTGGTTTTATAGCATGACATACCATTGCATAATTTGTTTCACACAAAATTACCAGCATTTTGATGTTATTATTTTACCTCTTCGACGCACAAACTGACAGCTTTGTGTTGATACTCAGGAAGATTTTGGAGATTGTCAATCGCATTGGAAGGCAGAGGAAACCTGAAAACATTACAAATATATTCACACCATTACTAACATACATGGTAGGATAGGAAAAATAAACCAATAAAATTAAAAAAAAATTATGATGTTACTACAATAGAGTCCCGCAAACTCTGCGTAATGTGGACTGGAAGGGTGCCAAGTTTGTAAAATGCCGGGTTATCGGGTACTAGGGTTAAAAATAAGAACAAAACAATTTTTAAGCTTTCCACATTTTTTATTTATATTTATATTACAAGTCAGTATTAAGTCATCAGATATAGTACAACAAATCCTTGGTACGAGTTGCGAATGATTTAACTTGAGCTGGCTTGAGTCTATGTTTAACTCGAACTCAAAAAATCACTTATTTTCTAAGACGGTGATGGCCGAGTTATCCAGACTGCCGGGTTATCGAGCGCCAAGTTTGCAAGACTCTACTGTATTTGGTTATAACCATTATTTTTGTTTGAATAGTTTACAAATCAATAGTATGTATGCAAGTGTAGTAATTACATACATATAATTATATATTACTTTATTAATAGTTAGGATTTTTCAGTAGTAATTAGTAAAAACTAATAACTGTTTATACAACCAGAGCCCTGCACTGTAGTCAGAATTCTGCAAAAAATACAAGTCTTTGTGAATATCTAGTTTTAATAGTTCTAATTTCTCAAACTATACTCTTATAAAGAGATTAATTTAATGTTTAACATTGGTACACCTTCACTAAATAAATAGTATGTAATAGGTATGATATGGAAATACTGTAGTCGTAAGCCAGAAGCTTAACATAACATAAAACATTATACAGCGCATAAAAAAAACACCCTTCAAAATATTTGGGATTTACTATGAAACTAACTGTTCATCGTTGGAGCTCGTGGTGTTGGGGGAAGAGTGCAGAGCTGTGTCTACTAGAGACTTTGACTGCTGCGGCAGAGTTAGACAGAGAATGTCCAAACTGACAGACAAGTTTTTCACGTCTATCTTTCCATTAGCAAAGGTGCCATCTAGACATTGAACCAGCTCTTCTGTAAATGAATAAATGAATTTATTTCCAGTCAGTAAAAGTATATATTACAAACATTATAATGTTTGGAAATTGACTGGCCTCTTTTTCAAGTAGTGCGGCCAGTTAGAACAAATAAATAAACAATAAATTCATAAGATATTTAGTCCAGCATTATGCATTAAAACTCTAATGCCACCATTTGGGCATCTGCCAAATACATATGAACAAATAATAGATACTAATAAATGCATAATAAATAAATAACAATATTAGTGTAGCAAATTGTACGTGCACGATAATATATAACAATAATTGTGAAAATTTTAACAAAAGGTAGAAAGTCATAACATTTTTACATGCAACTATTGACCTAAATTTGCCTAGGTACCACATCTATGACATCACATTACTATAATAATTTTATTTTGCTATGCGGTAAGCCGGAGAATTAATTGTTTGCCAAATGTTTTTAAATTAGCAAGATTTTTTATGTTTGAAGGAACTTGATTGAAATACTTCGGTCCTAAATATTCAAAAGAATGGAAAAAAATGATTCATTAACTTTAGGTAGTCTGAAATTATTTTGACGTACATACCTACTAGTATTGTAATACACATTGTCACTAACTACATTTCCACTCCTTACAAAAAATAATCTCTAGACCTTAAAAACAAAAAGATGTTGAATAGGTTTAATATTTAATTGCTTATAAATAGGGTAAGAATTTTTTTTCTTTTTTTTACATTGTATGTAAAAAAGTAGTTTTGGGTGGTTCTCAGTTAATCTATCAAATATTTATAAGTTCCGACCCAACACCATAAGTCATTAAACCATATTGTAATCTAGAGTTTATTAACGCAAACTAAAGTGAGTGTAACAAATAAATACCACAAATATTAATTAAAAAATAAAATTTTCTAATGGAAGACCTTAATTGTGCATGTAAACTAAGTATATGTTGTTCAAAAACTCATTTTCTCATACCACATGATAACTGATAAAAATCTTATTCCTATCAGATGTGCTGCAGATTTTGCTCACAAATTCTCCCAAAAAGAAGTACATAGAGAAAAAACTGGTGTTAAGATCTGTTTAATTCTTTCTGATAAATCTACATCCGTGCAAACTGTTCACGACAATTCATAAGTACAACACATCCTGTAATCCAAACTAATGTTTCAATTCAATCCAACTCATGTTTCAATTACCAAATTGTTTAAATTAGCTGAAGCAGTAAAATTACATAAAAAAATAAACGCAATGTATTTTAGCAAATTTTCCTACAGGGGAGACGCTATTACCATAGGTGGCACAGAAAGGCCTAGACCTAGGACCATGTATGTCCATAAAAATGCATATTTTTGGCTCGTTTTTATATTTGTATGTAATGGTATGGATGTAAATTAGCAGTGTTTTTAGATTTTCAAAAGCCAACTTGAGTTTTTTTATATTTGCACAATGTAAACCAAATATTAGAACTTCATCAAAGTCACAAACAGACGCATCCATTCTGAATTAATTTGTATGTTTTCTAAATTTTTACTCAACCCAGTTGTAAGTTACCTAAACAAGTGGGGAGTATTTGTACAGAGCAGTTGCCCATCTGTCCATTGGATTTGATCGTACAAATGAGCTGAAGAAAGAGAGGAGAGATGTCTTCATCACACTCTTCTTCTGGGAAGATGCTGAGACTATCAGAGTCCCGGTTGGACAGCAGGGAAGTGTGGGCTTCATCCGGAGTGGTGACGGAACCTACTGTCTCCCAGGGACTTGCTCCTCCTGGAACAAAAACTTTGTAAATTCCCTGAAGTAGAAACTTTAGGCAAATATCACTGAAGATTGAAGAATGAATGTTAAATGAATGAGACAGTATTGTTCCCAAGATCAGGTGCTCCGTCATCCAGGTCAATTTATGAAAAGGCTGATAGTCAAGGATAGCTAAATCCAGTTTTAAATCTTCAAAAAGCTAATGACTTTTCCAAGGATTGAGCTAGTGACCTTCTGATTACTAGGATTAGCATTATTGTAACAGCAAGTATGAAAATTACAGAATATGAACAAACCAGCAAACTACACCAAGCAACCACCAATTTGACCAATTGACCAAAAATCACCTTTTCGTCATACTGCAGCAAAAATAGCCTTTTTTAATGCATGCGTTGCAGGGCTAAAGTAGCTCTTTTACTCCCTAGGGAGTAAAATTCAGCTGCTGTAAACTTTGATTGCAGGCAATTCCATGTATGGAAATTATTTATCGATTGATTTCATCGGTTTTAACTTAAATTGTTGCATTCTTGTCAATAGTTTGATATATCGATAGCATAATGTACAGTAACACAATCGTAATAGACAAAATGATCGAATAACTTACTAAACAGCTGTTTATTTGCATTAGCAAAGTTTAAAACAAGTTGGATTTCATTTTGAGAGGTTATCTTTACACGAAAAGTATTTTAGTTTTCTAACTTAGTTTGTTAAATAATTTTGCAATATGACGAAAAATATAGATCATCACTCAGGCAAAAAGTGTCCTTTCAGCCCTCGCTCATTTTCCAACCTCGGCTTCGCCTTGATCGTAAAACTTGAGGTCGGGTCAAAAAGAGCCCCAAACTCTCCAAACCATGTACTCTACAAATACATATATATACATGCATCACATATGGCCAAGTCCAATTCAGAAAAGTTCATGTTTAAATTTTAGATTAAAAAATTTTAAATCGAAAGATAAACCTTGTAAAAAATTTTAATGGACAGCTTTCAACATCAAATATTTGAGGAGAAATACTACTTGCTGCCTGTAATATCATAAGTTTTTTGTTGTACCAAAATATTAAATAAGAGGAATGACAATTTTTTTAAAGAGATGTTAAATTTGATAACTTTTATTTATTTACTTACCTACATTACTGCCTTGATCAGAACGAAACTCAATAAATTCTGTTTGGTATGAAGTGTTGTTGTCAAAGTCATGTGCCAATTCCAAGTTTCTTCTGTCTTCCAGATTGGTACTTACTACAGTGTTGATATCTACCTAAAATGTTTAAAAATAGGTTTTGACAGAAAATTTAAACAGTGGACAGTGCTAAAGTAAAATAATTGTAATATATAATTTGGCTATGAGGGGGCACTCCACCCAGAATTTAAAAAATTGTTATTCATGTATGAAACATTGTATTTTTTACGCATTGGTTTTAAGCTATCAAAATCAAATAAAATATAGGGTTACCCCCTTTTTACCCCTCAGTCAAATGAATATAATACAACATTTTCCTGAACAAACTTTTTATTTCATCCCAAAATATGAACGAATAAACTACTAACAAGGAAATAAGGCTAATAAGGAACTTATTTGTACAAATATTTCAGTCCTCGTACAAATATTTCAACGTTTGAAGCATATTTAAAATTTTGTATGGGAACAGTCGATAATAATTTTAGGTGTAAGAAAAATTACATTGTCATTATACGTTCAAAAGTAGAGAGATAAATATTATTGACCATATAAAATGAAATTAGATATAATTTGACAGTGACATAAAATAGTTGTAAAGAATCACCTGGTGGTCTCTTTCCCAATTAGGTGAACAGAAGTAGAACTCTGGATTAGTAGGCACTGGTTTGAAGCATGACGTAATGATATGATGGAACTTGTCCTTGATAAGATTGTGAAGGTGGTGGTACTCAATACAAGGGGCTGCTGACTTAAATGACTCTATCTCTACCAAGCTCTGCTCTTCATCTTCCTGCACCTTGTCTTTCATCTCTTTCAAATGTCGACATACTGTCTGAAACAACGTAATTATAAATATATAAATAAGTCATGTTAATGATAGAAGTCAAACAGTTTGACGAATTAAGAAATAAGATCCATCATTGTGGTATTGTGGCACCTAATGATGAGAAAAAGATGAATTTTTTTACTTAATTGATTTTCCGACAATGAACTGAAAATACTCTTCTAATAACTCATTGGAGTTAAAATTCATGGTTATTTAAGTATGGCTCTTGAAAGTTTAGGATCTGCCTGGTTGACTCGGTTCCAAGAGAGTCAAACTTGGAAACGTGGGTCAGAATGGTTGGCTTTTAAATCCAGTAGAAAATATATTGAATTGAGTTGACTTTACAGGTAATTTAAACTCTATCTGATATTCACCTTCTTTGGACTTAATTTCTATGGTGGCAGAGATGATAGAAACAATACCTGCAAATAGTTTGTGATGTTGATCTCGACCAAAGCCTCTTCACATTCCTCCATTGCAGTCTGAACATTGGCAGCATTTATGTGATGGCCACGATGCAAGGCCTTGAACAAAGAAACTCCGAAGGACTTTGTGAATGCTTGGATGATAGTTTGTGCATGCTGCTTCACCTCCCCTTCTTCTGCAAACCAGGAAAATCATCCTAAATATGAAGGTTAAGTGAATCATACTTTTATTGAAGACTGTCATTTATTGACAGTAATAACCATTCCTCGGAATGCTCTCCTTTTTATTTCATGTTAATAGAATCTACAGATTAAGGTAAAAGATTAGCAGATATTTTTTTTTATTTAATACCTATGCAAATCAGTTTATCAGAAGGAATAAGGACTTCTTTATAAGGAATTCTTTAGCACACAAGGCAAATATATTATACATTGGGGGAACTCATTGAATAAATATTCATACTTAAAATGTATTTATATCCAAGCTAGTTTAGTACTTTATACTTGACACTATTTTTGTACCCATGTACATGTAAGGAAAATAAAGATGTTTTGATTAGATTTGATTTGAAATCAGAAATTTATAGTCTATCATATGAACAAAATTCAGAATTTGAATAACAATACCTCGTTTTACTGAGAGGTCATCTGAAGAATCTTTGGAGTAGGTTTGACTGATTACGTCAGAGTTGTCATCAGATTCAAATTCTCCTTCAATGTCTGTTTTACATGTTCTCCTCCAAAACAGATCTTTGAAGTCTCGCTTGTATTCAGTCTTGAGAATTAGCGAATCCATCAGATTGTCCAAAGAGCATCCATAAACATAAACAGGTACATTTATATGACCCAAAACCGGTTTGCAAGGAGGCTTAGAAGGCAGATTTGAAATCATGGAAAACGTATCATAGTCACAGTTTAACTTCTTCCTCATTTTGTACTCGTTGTACTTGGATCCCACTGATCGTGTTCGAACTCTTGGAGACGAATGTTTCTTTGTTTTCAAAACAGACTGAGGTTTAATGGGCTCCCAAGATCTAGCTCTCACTCGAAAAGGCGAGCTTGGGTCTAAAGTGCCTTTACTGAGCTCCCACGTTGATTGCTGCAGGTCTGTATTGGAGGATTCGTGATCAGAAATGTTTGAGACTGAATCCAACTTGTATTCAATCCATCGCTTGTTAGAAAGAGGTGAAGAGTTAGCTACTGGTAATGGACTCTCTTTCTGCAAAGTCATTGGAACAAAAGGTTTGGCTTCTGGGTCTAATTTTGATCCAATCACAATCTGTTTCTCTGCCTCAGATATCTCGAGTTCAGCACTTTGTTCTGGGATCACACTGCTGGAAGAGTCTGATTCTGATTGCAAAACCCAGGCTTTGGGTTCAGCATTGAGCATTAGGGCTTTGCAGTCCCTATAAGAGGCTGGGACAAAAGTCAGGATGATGTATGACTGAGAGGATCGTTTGACAAAGAACCTCCATCGAGGCATGTCTCGGTCCACGTCTGTGTGTGGAGGTGTTAGGTTGGGAGGTGTCCGTGGGTACATGCGGTACAATGGACCACAAGACTTACGGCCACCAGAGCTCGTGGTCACAGAGTGTTTGTTCTTGCTGCCGTCATCACAGGGTATTTTAGGCCATTCGTTTTCTTTATCTTCATCTCTGCTTTCCTTGTCTGAACATTTCCGCCTACTACTATTGGCACTTGAATCTGAAAAATAGATAATTTTAAATAAATTAATAAAGATTTTATGCTAGGTACTGATGTTGTGCATAATTGTAGGAGTTTACACAATATTATTTCAATCACACAAGTACTCAAAATAACAGTAAAAAAAAATAATTAAGATCAACTTAGTATGAAATTATTGTGATTATGAACTGAGTATGCTATCTGGAAAACAGTAGCACTATCCTAGCTGTCCTTAGCTATTCCTTTGTACTTATCTATCCTTGGTATTCACTTTCAAAAAGGGGAAAATCTTCATTGGAAGCTTCCTAATTTAAGCTGGAAAACCTTCTTCGCCCTCTTTTCTAGCAAATGCTCCTTTATTTTATGTTTAGGTGTTTACCTTAAATGATGACTTAAAAATAATTAAAGGATCATTTTAATGTTGTAAAACATTTATTAATATCATTATACACAATTAAAAATAAAGAGTTTATGAATGTTGATACTGTAATAACCCTAGTGACCTTTTTTCTCACCATACCTGAAAGGAAAAGAAAATTGTATCATCATGGCAAATTAAGCCAAACAGATACTATACTTTAACTTAGGAATTCAAACACAGTTTTCAGTGAAAGGACTGAAATTAATATATATTCATTATTGTTCATGATCATAAATTATTCTATCAATACCATCATCACTACACATACCACTAGAATCTCTTCTAGGAAAAGGCACGGGATGCTTCGTTAAGTTGCGCTGTCTTTTGCAAATCAACTCAATAAATTGTTTGGATTCCACAGGACTCAAAAACAATTCTTTGTCGTGGAAATCCTTAAGTTGTTGGAATAAAGTATCCAAGAGAAGAGTGTTGGGTGCATCAGCATGGGTAGAATTTTTGGTACACCAATCCTCTCCAAGATCTAAAAAGTAAGATATTGTTGAATCTAATTACTTTATTAAGACAGAAATGCACTCTGTGCAATGTGCATGCATTTAAAGCTGAATTGAGTGCAGGGTAGGTATTGATTAGGCACTATCAACCATTAGTTAACTTAACTGCCTTGTGTAGCTTTGTTTATGACAAAGATCAGGTGTTTACTAAAGCTTGATGTCCAAAGGCAACTGCACCCAGTTTAAAATAGGGTTTCAGTCATATCAATTTTGATTTAGATATAATAGTTTTCCTTAGGATTTGTTCCAACAGCTATTATAATAACTAAAAATAATACTTGAGGAATGTTGTATTTGTTGCATATAATTTGTCATTTTTAAAGATTTACCATCTAGAGAAAATTTAAGAAGTACAAGACCTTGTCTTCACTACGCCAAACAGTCAAACAAGTAAAATGAACCAGTGAACACTTTTTGTGTAAACTTAAATTTCCTTACACTGTGGTTAGGATTAACGTTCTCCATCATATTGCAATTATTGTTTACCTTGTATGAACAACGGAAACTGGAGTTCCACTTGCTGGCTTTCTGGCAAGATGCTGATGACATTGTAGGCGAAGGGAATCTTCTGAATCCTCTGATCAGACAATGCAGTTGCGTGAGGCCAGTTTCTAAAACAAACCAAACTTTTCAACTGCCTGGAAATCACATTTTATTTATTTATTGTTTTTGACTGGCAACATAATAGTATATTAGTTACTATTAAGGAAAAATAGTTGTTTACAAGACGAGTGTACCACATAAGACAAAGTCAAGTATTACCATACGAGTCTGTTAAACACTTTTTGGACGAGTGACGTACAATATTTTTTGACATGCTACTGTAAACTAAGCTAACAATAAACAAACTGTACAGATCCGTTGTATATTCCCACCAACTAAAGGTTAATCCTTTAGTTCAATACTCATGACCTCTAAGAGAGGTTATGTTTTTGTTTATAACCCCTCATTGCCAAATATAATCGGCTGGTGTCCGGTAAAAACTCACTAGTAGAACATAATAAAACCCCATTTGATTAAGCAGGCGGCAAACAGCTTTTTTCCGGACTAAATTCTAGTGTAGAAAGTTTGTTAAAACAGTGAAGTGTGGCAAAAATAAATTAAAATAAAACATAGTAATTTCTAACATAGCAATATGTTGTTCAGTTAGTATGATATTTGGTTATGGTCTACATTTTTGGGATGCTTGTCTCGAGTGTTGTTGATTGATCTTGGAACTACCTTTTGCTTGCTAGAGGTAAAAAAGGACCATGATGTCATAAGTTAAAAAAATAAGTGTTTTTGTTTCCTTGTTTGACAATTGAACATCCAAAGAAATGTTGTAAAACCTTAATTGAATGTTAAAATTCAAACCCAGCAGCCATTTATCACCTACCCCCATTGATTTATGATGTTATACAAAATACAAGTAGGTAATGCACAATTTTTGTTTTAACAATGTTTAATTTGGAAATAATGGAATTTTTAATTTTTATAATTATCCTACACAAAGTGAATTTTCAGAATGTCTTTAATTTAGCTTGGTTAGCTTAATTAGTTACTTTTATTTATATGGTTAATTTACTATAGTTTTAGTCAATTTAAATTCATGAAAAATGTAGAGGAATGAAAACTTAATATACACTAAATTGGTCAAAGTGTGGATATGAAATATTATAATTATAGATAAGTTATTTAATATTTTTATACCGACAAAGTTAGCAGTAGATTCCTTACTCAAGAGGGTTGCGAGGAGGAGCTTCCAATGGGTCCATCCGAGGTGGAACTGGAATCTGAGGATTTTGACTCATTAGACGAAGCTGCTCAAACGTCAACAGCTTGGTGATACACTCTGCGTCCATCCGCCACATCTGCACATACAACATAACCTTGGCATTAAATTCATTTATAAACAATAGGGCAGGGTGGTGCGGAAAAATTAAAGTTGTGAAATTAGAGTAGCTATTGTGGAAAGGTTGTGATTGATAAATAGAAGAAAACGAGAAAAACTAAACAGAACAGTGGCGGCTGGTGGGTTATAAAGTATTGGGAGGACGCATAATTTTTTTTGGGGAAGGTTACTGATAACAAGGGGAAGGTTAAAAGTAAAGAAATGAGTTAATGAGTTAAGGCCACTTTTTGGATATAAACTGTTTTATTCATACTGTAATTGTCTTCATTGTCTCTTTGTTTATAATAAATTGTCCCCTACACTCGCATACTTTGCAGAAATATTTTTAACAGAATTCTTAATTCATTAGCATCACCGAACAACACTTCTAGAGAAACAATAGTAATAGTACATTAGTGATTAGTTATATTAGCGATTAGTTAGTACATTAGTAATGGTACATTAGTTACCTCGAATACTGGCGAATAATGGATGAACATATAACGACGAATCACTAAATACTGCATTCATTTACTTGACAGATATTGTGTTGACAGTCAACAGATTGTAGCACTAAGCGCTCATGGCAATAGTTAAAACTACTGTTTGGAAAGAGTCCAAAATGCCCAAGGGCCTGACACAGCACTGTGATTGGTCGAATTCTTCCAAGCAGTTTATATAGGAGTTTGGACTTATTCCTCTACTTCTACTAAGTTCTCGCGTACTAGTTGCAAAAACAGATTGTGTCCATTATCATTTGTCCAAAAATCATTCACTCTGCTAACGTAGATTCAAATGCAGGAATAAAAGTTATATTTATGTTAATTATTATTATTTTTACAATTGTCTTGAAACTGGGAAGACTCTGTCCCAGAGTCCTTATGGACCAACCGCCACTGAAATAGTTTTTTTTTTTAAATCAGAGTTCATTTTCTGACTGCACAAATATTTATAAAATTAGTACAAAAAACATTTTTTTATATGAAATTAATTTTTTTTTGTTTTACATATTTTAAAAATTCCTATAATGATTTTACTTTACCTTAAGGTTTTAAAAACAGTAATACAAATGATTTCTCCCAAAAAGGTTTTTTTTACAACCACACAGTTCCATGAAAAATAGCGAAAAATCACTATTATTGGACACCTTTAATATGTTTGGGAAAATATTATGAGGTTTAAAATTCGTTGATTTTGAGTTTCGTGCCAATTGTGCAGCTTTTTGTTTGTATCAATGATCAATGAAAACCATGGACCTTGTAGTATTCGACAACGTGCTGCCGGCTCAGGAGCTGTGTTAAACGATCCCATGGTTGCAACGTTCCGCGATTCCAGTGACAAATGCGTCGCAATAATGCTGGTAAAAATTTATTTGTAATATATCATGTGTTTGTTCTTTAAGTTATTGTATAAATTTTCAATATTAATTGCTTATCAGTATGAAAATATTTGTTGAATTAAGAATGAAGATGGGATTGTTCATCGAAGAAAGCTTTTTAACTTCAATGAACATAAGAAAACTGAAAATGAATTTGATTTATAGGTAAAACATAACTTAACTTACTTATTTTATTTATACTTATACTTGTAGTTTATTATGAAAAACTAATCTCTTGACAACATTTTAACTAACCAGACATTTTTAGAGCATAAAATATAGGCTATGGCACTTATGATGATGCGAGATGTCGCAAACCTTTAAGTTTTACATTTGAAACCATGTCATACAGCCTAAAACCATATATAAAGTATTCAGAGTGTTTATTCACAGTTATTAATAACTATTTTGTATTTTTAACTTAATACTTCATTTAAACATATTTATAGGAGTAATTCACGTTTCCTAAAAACCACATTTTCTGTAGGCCTCGCAAGAAACTATACGATGTTTTAATGGCTTGGACAATTGAGAGGTAAATCCATGACATTTAAAGGCTTATAACCTATATAATACGGTACGAAATTGTTTTAATAATAAATCTTATACCATGGTTTAAGCATTAAAAAAAGTTGTTAAATTTGTTTAAGGAACTAAGGGGAGTTAAAATTTGACTCATTAAAAAATTGCTAAAAGAAATTGCAAAATTTAGCAAAAACTAATTTTCTGTTGTAAACCCTATATGGGGCATGTGAAAAATAAGTGTGTAGTTTATGCTTAAAATGGTGTAAAAATTAAATTTAAAACTACAATTGCATTAGAATTCCTTCAAAAGCCATTAAAAGCTTTTTTGCCAATATGTTGTAGTTTGAAATAGATTTACGTGAAAAACTCATTTTAAATTTGTTGTAAATTCAATCAGATAAATTAAATTCAATTATCAAATGTCTCAAATAACTCTTGATTTGACACAGTTCACAGTATACATCTAAATGTTTGAATAATTACTATTTGCCTTAAGTTTTGCCTTTTAATGGCTTATTGTTGGTTTTTAAGGACGCTTAAATCAAATACCTTTTTATTTGAATACTATATGGTCAATGGTGTAAATAATGATTGAAATCAGATGTAGAAAACTCATTGTTTTTTTTTTGTCCCATATTTGTTTTATTTAAAAACAATGTAATACAAAGGTTTTATTCCAAATCCCATTTTATTCTGAGATACTGTATTAAAAGATTGCATTTTACTTTTCATTGTAGCTTATAATGTTAATCATGAGGAAAATAAGTAAAAAAAATGAAAAATGTAGGTTCCATTATGTACAGTTACAAATTTAAGCTTTTAAATCCATTGTCTCTCAAACCCTTGCGTTTGACAGGGCGACGGGAGGTTAATCACGTAGTTTAAAAGAAACTTTAAAACACCGCCATTTTGGATGGAGTGAACCTTTTGAGGCCGGGTTTGTGGCATAGTTTTCGAACAATTAAGACTTTTTATTTGCTGGCCGTATGAATCCATGCTTACCTTAAAGATTTTCAACTTGCTCTTCGTGGCCGTCTTTTCCATAATACACCAAATTCATGAACTCATAGCAAGTTCTCTATTGTGAATAAATTACGATAGTGCTGCAATGTAAATAGGATTTTGTCATATAATCCCTTTCTATCTGTGTACATTGTAATATCTGTTCAAATTTTTAGAAATTGATTTTGTTTACTTTGATGTTAGTTGGTTCATATTGTTAACTTTTATATCATGCTAGATTCTTTGTTCAATAAAGCCTAATTAAAGGAAATTTTGTTTTATAATGGTTTTATTCATTCAATCTACAACAGATTTGTTTTCTGTTTTGTAGCCTGCAAAATAAAATGAAATAAATTCCTGTATATACTAAAATACTTTAGTTTTATAATACGAAGCAAAATGCAGGTTTCCTTTTTCCATGACAAAACTTTATATACAAACAAAACAAAAATATTGTATGCTAAAAGCTGGAAGTTGCTATCATCAATTGTTTAAAATATTTAGAGATAAGATCCTTTACAACCCTTTTTAAAAAGCATCAAATATCAATCATAGTCTTTAGTCTTTTGTGTGTATTTTCTGTGTTTATAGTCAACAAATAATAATGTTAAGTATGATGTTAAAAAAATTGGACTGTGCCGCCATTTAGAAATTTACGAAATACCAACTTTTAGCGAATTTCCCATATAGGGAATAAGTTATTACCGTAGTACTCATGGTAAGACCTGGACCCGGGACCGATTTACTTTTTCATTTTGAGGTCCCTAGAGGCCAAAAACACAATCCGTTCAAATTCTTATATATATATATACAGTGTGTAAATTAAGTATGGAAACAAATCTGTATTTTTAAAACCGAAATAGATAGAAATATTCTATTTGTGGCAATAATAGTTAACAAAGATTCCGCAATTTTTCACATGAAAAATATTTTTTTACCCCCCTAACAGGGTAGGTGGTAGGGGGTGACTTATTTTTTTCAAATAGCAACCCCTATTGAGTGACCCCTCATTTTAAAGAGTTTGTCAAAAGAAACACAATGACGCAAATCCGAGGTGAATATCTCACTCCTAGCCCAAATGGCGGATATTCCAAAATTTGATTTATTGTACGTGTAAAGCACCAATTTCACAAATAATGGAAAGAAATTTGCATTTTTAAAACCGAAATAGATAGAAATATTCTGTTTGTGGAATTGATTGTTGACATAGGTTCCGCAATTTTTTTAATCAACAATATTTTTTCAACCCCTTTAACAGGGTAGGGGGTGGGAGTGACTTATTTTTTTCAACAACAACCCCTATTGAGTGACCCCTCATTTTGAAGGGTTTGTTAAAAGAAAAAGAATGACGCAAACCCGAGGTAGATATTTCACCCCTAGCCTAAATGGTGGGTAATGAAAAATTTAATTTTTGTAAAAAAAAGCCCATTTTGTAATATCCGCCATGTTAGCTAGGAGTGAGATATTTACCTCGGATTTGCGTCATTGTGTTTCTTTTGACAAACCCTTCAAAATGAGGGGTCACTCAATAGGGGTTGCTATTGGAAAAAAATAAGTCACCCCCTACCACCTACCCTGTTAGGGGGGTAAAAAAATATTTTTCATGTGAAAAATTGCGGAATCTTTGTTAACTATTATTGCCACAAATAGAATATTTCTATCTATTTCGGTTTTAAAAATACAGATTTGTTTCCATACTTAATTTACACACTGTATATGTGTGTGTGTGTTGATTAACTTGAGCAAAAATGATCAGATTTAGATGAAATTTGGTACAAACGTGTAAACCTACATTTATTTGAACGACTTTGCGAACCAGCATGATCGGACAATGGGAACCCTCGTTTATAGGAGGTTTGATGGGGTAAAAATAGGTTTTCCCCATTTTTGACCCTAAAAACACAAAATTTCACAATTTCTTTCCAAACTATTTTGTAGAGCTTAAAAACAAATAATTTAGTAATGGAGCGTTATTGTGCGCCTAATGATTAGGGAGAAAATTCAAAAAAAATTGTAAAATTTTAAATTCCCATATTATCCCAGTTTTCGGGGGAACACAACGAAATAGAGTTCCA